CCTCCCCCTTCTCGTCTGTCTGCCGGGCCAGGCGGGGGTTCTGGAGGGAGGCGGGCATGCCTGGGAGCTGAGCAGTGGGCGGGTGAGCGATACCCGTCCCTGGATAGTAAGAGCACGAGGCCTCCCCTGGCCGTGCTGATGCAACAGTGGCATTCCCTGTCTCCCTGCAAAGCCCCTTCTGCCTCTGCTGCCTCCTTCCTCACCCCCACCTCCCTCAATGCACCCCTTTTGAATTCTTGTGCGCGCTATTGCCCCTCAGTCAGGAGCCCTCTGTCCTGACCGGTCCTCATCGACTTGTCATCAGTTCCTGGAAATGCACTTGGTAACACCTGTGTCTCACCTCTGCTGATTTGGGTTTGGTGACAGTTACGTGACAGTAAATCAGGCCCAGGAGCCTGCTGGGGGCCATGAAGTGGAGTGGGGACGCCGGCTGCCACCACCCCACCCCCACCCCCACCCCCACCTCTACCCCGTGGAGAAGCTCCATCAAACCAGCAGGTGGGAGAGGCCCTGAGGTCTTTCAGCAGGTTCTTCCTGAACTTCAGCCAGGCCCAGGGCAGCTGTACATGTGCCTTGTGCCTGGCTGTCCCCACTGGGCCAAGCCTGCTGTGAGTCCGGAGGGTTTCGCACCCCATTTCCCCCACCATGTGCCTTTGACGGGAACTTCACTTCCCTGCCCCATACACTTCCATTCCCACCAGGCACAAGTTGGACTTCTATCCAGGGCCCACTGATCTTGCCCCCTTGGGCAGCTTTCAGTGAAAGGAGGCAAGATCAGGGATAGTCCAGTTGGGAGGCTTCCTGTGGGTGCCACAACCCCTCTGGGCCTCACACGCAGCAGCGGGGCGGACTCAGTGGCCAGGTCGCTTTCTGGGTCCCCGATGGCAGAAGTCTGTGCAGCCGGGTCCCTACGTCCTGCTTGGAAATGGGGGCAGCAGAGGGGCAGCTGGAGAGATGCAGGGCTTGGGGGCGGCCGTGTCTCCCAGCGGGACCGCTGCCTATGCCAGGCCGAGGGCTTGCTCGCCCCCAGCCAGAGTCGTGGTGTCCCTGGGGCCTCCACAGTCTGGCAAAATTCTCACTGCATAAAGGTTGGCCCAGTCACCAATTTAGGGTGGCCTGGGACCAAACAGAGGCAGAAAGAGGAAGAGCGGGGCAGGGGGCCGGCTGAACAGAGCAGAGCAGAGGGTGCTGCCCGCTGCCTGCACCAGGCGAAGCTCTGCCCGGAGGCCCCTGCTGCTCGGCTGCTCACTTGCAAACTGGGAGCAGCGGCCTCCTGCGGGCGCCCCAGCCAAGCTGTGAGGTGCTGCCCCCTCCAGCCCTACGTGGCTCTCGGGGGGAGGGCCCAAGGGTCATTTTTTTTAGAGAAATGTATCAGACGGTCATGGTTCTTCGGTGTCCTCCCTCTGTCACTCCTCCGCGCCCGGCGGCCTGGCTCAGTGCAGGGGCAGGCCCTGGGTGGGCAGGGCTCTTTGGTGTGACTGTGACCAGCGCTTGCCCTCTGCCCTCTACAGTGTCCCGGGCGAGGATGGTCCTGTGGTGACTCAGAAGTCTTTGTTAAGGGCACGCAGTTGGTGCTTGATAATTGTTTGCGTGGCCCGTTCAGTGCACGTTTGGAGGGGCTGACAGGGCTGCTGCAGTGTAGTTTTCATTTTCAGGCCTCACGCCCCCTCCCCTCACGGCAACTTTGGGGTCTCAGCTGTTAATTACATGTGCCCAGGTGGCCTCGGGCGCTAATCCTCGAGGTCAGACAACAGAGGTGACACCGAGCGCTCTGCCTCTTGTCATCTCCAATCCACACGCGCCCACTGACCCCTGCCACACGCCTCCAGTTCATTACCGCGATCACGGCCCGCGCCGCCGCCGCCGCCTTGAGAACAAGGGTCGCTAATTGGCGGGTGCGTGGTCGGATCGATGGAGCGCCTTGGCTGGCGGCTGACAGCCCAGCCCCATGGGATTAGGCGCTAATTGTGGATGGCCTCCCAGGCGGGGGCCCCCCAGCTCTCTTATTCTTAGAAAGGAGGCTAATCCAGAGACCAAGGATGGAGGGTGGCGAGGAGGGGGGAGAGCGGGGCAGGGCCAGGAGTCCGTCCCCTGGGCGGCTGGGTGCACCTGCCCTGAGGTGCGGTCCAGGCGCCTCCCTGCCTGAGGCCCGGGAGCCCGTGCAGATGGGGCGAAGATGCCTCTCCCCCCTTCCCCAGGCCCCGGAGGACCAGAGCCCGCCTGGCCGTGACCCCAGCTTGGCCTCTGGGCAGCTGCAGCCTCTGCCTGGAAGGAGGGGGGCTCTGGGTGTCTTTGTTTTATTTCTTTACTTTGTTGGCTCCAGACCATGAATATCCACCCTCCCTCCACTCTGAGGCAGAGTTTAGACAGGGCCGCCCAGGGTGCAGGCTGGGCACACAGTGGGCCCTTCGGGCAGCCAAGCACCTGAGGCTGAGTGACATGAGCTTTATGAGCGGCGGCCACATGGATGCCACTCACAGTAGCCACAAGGTGACACACCCAATCATCCATCAGTGACGATAGATAAACCGAACGGGGTCCCTTTTGCAATGGAGTATCGTTCAGCTGTGAAAAGGAACGCAGTTCTGACACGCTGCTACATGGGTGAGCCATAGAAACATCATACTCAGTGGAAGAAGCCGGTCACAAAAGGCTGCATGTTGTCTGATTCCATTTATATGAAATGCCCAGAATAGATAAATCTGTGGAGACAGGAAACAGATGCCAGGGGTTGGGGGGTGCTAGTGGGTATGGAGTTTCTTTTTGGGGTGAAGAGAATGTACCAAGTGGACTGGTGATGGTCGCAGTTGTGAATATACTAAAATCCACTGAATGACAAACGATATGGTGAGTTCTACGGTGTGGGAATTGTGTCTCAGTAAAGGTGCCACAAACTTAAAAAAGGAGATTGGTAGCAATTCCATGGGAATTCCTTTTTGAGACAAAACGATCCTTGCCTGGTATTTTTTTCAAAATTTAAAATGGGCTTTTTATCAAAATCAAAGCACCTGCAGAAGAGAGCCCAGACTGTAAGTGCCCAGTGGGACGAATTTGCAGAGTGAACCCACAGATCCGGAAGCAGAATGAGGCCCCTCACTGCTGCCCCCCAGCAGATACCGCTGTGTGGGTCCCGCCCAACGCTGCGTTTTCGTCTCCACTCAGCGGCGGCCCTGTGACTCACCGTGTGCCCGAGGCCCTCGCTGCACCCGGCCGGCCTGGCCCTGCGTGCTCCGCCACCCTGACCCCGCGCACGCTCTGCCCTTTTAGCCACCAGTCGGCCTCGGGGTAGTTTCAGGCTGCAGGGGCCCCTGGCCACGACTCCGGTGGACGTCAGCCCTGTGGCGCCGGGTGCAGACCCAGGGAGGAGCAGGGGGCTGGGCTAGGCCCGGGGGCAGACACCGGAGCCTGCGGAGACACGGGCGCCTTCCCAAAACTGCACAAACTGGGAGGAGAGTCTAGGTGACCCGCTCACCCCCAGGACTTTCCTCCATCAGCTTGTCGGAGTGGGCAGCGGCCCCCAGGCTCCCTGGCCCTGCTGGGTCAGTCCCCAGCCAGCACGACCCCCACTTGGTCCTACCCCGGGCTTCCTGGCTGGGTCTCACTGACGTGGCGGCCCAGTCTGTTTCAGAACCTTGGAGGCATCCCCACTGGGGAGGCAGGGCCACTCATGTCCTCCGCTGTTAGCTGTCCCCGGAGATGATGGCATCTGACCGGGAGGCTGGGCACGCTCTCCCACAGTGGGCGGCAGAGCTGGGATCTAGACCGCAGTGCTCACTTCTGGGTGTTTTCCCAGTCAGGTGGGGGTTGCAAAATTCTAGGGTGGTTGGGTGGTTCATTTGGAGAATCAGGACAGCTCCCTCCCCCTGTGCGATTCCTCACTGCCCACCTGGTTGGGCGTGGACGGGTGGAATTGGCAGTGAGGGGGTCCCAGCCTTGGCCCTGTCCCCGGGGTTGCTGAGTGGAACATGCTGCTGGGCAGCTCTTGGGGCACCACCGGCGGGCGGGGTGGGGACAGGTCTGGCTGGACTGGGCGTCTCCCCGCAGGGTCGCCCTGTGCACGAACCCAGAGCACCCCAGGGAGGCGACCTGTCAGGAGCCCCTTGGTCAGGGCAGAGCTCTGTTGCTTTCTGGGGGACCTCAACGTCCGGCCACTCTGCCTCCTGGTCACACCACCGAGGCCGCGCTCGGCTGGTCAGGGGCCCGGCTCAGAAAGGAGGAAGTACACCGCAGCGACTCCTTCCTCTCAGCGATGCCCTGGCCACTGAGGTCGTCAGGGAGCGCCCACGAGGCCACAGCCCACCATATTAGGCAAAGGTTTTATTCAGTGATACGAGCGTGGGACCCGGAGAGGTTGTGAAGACAATACGAGTGTTCCCAGGACAGACACAAGTTCTGAACAAAATTTGGGGACGATGCGTGGAATCTCTCCTTCCAGAAAGGGAGGCTGTTGCCGGCCCCCGCTTCCCCCACCTTCCCGGGGCTGCAGGTGCCCCAAGTGGGGCTCCTAGAGGCAGAAGGTGCCCAACTGTACCCCCTCGGAGGGGTTGGCATTTGCCTCTTGAGACCAGGAGATGGGGCCTCTCCCTTGGGACTGTCGGCAGCAGCCTCTGTACCAGACCCGCCCAGACCAAGGCTGGCGCCCTGAATCCGTAGAAGTGTTCAGGTGCCAGTTCTAACTCGCCCACCACGTCCCCCTCCAGCCAGCAGAGCACGCAGCCATCCAGGCTCATGCGTCCCTCTGTGACCGTGCAGTCGGGTGGCTTGGACGCACAGGGCTGGCAGTGGGCAAGCGTGTGCCCCTTGCCTGCCCGCTGCCTGGCACTGGTTGACTCTGCTGCAATGTGATAAGACCTGGGGGCCGCCTGTGTGGCCTCGGTGCTGTCCGTGGCTCTCCAATGAGGTCTGGGCCTGGGTCCGAGCCCACGAGGGGGCCGGCGAGCTGGGGTCAGACGCTGAGCCGCCCGAGTCCCCGGCTGAAGCTCTGTGTCCTTCTCTTGCAGGGTCTTCACTGAGCAGCGAGTCATCCCCCGTGTCCTCTCCAGCCACCAACCACAGCTCCCCGGCCAGCACACCGAAGCGCGTGCCCATGGGCCCCATCATCGTGCCCCCTGGGGGCCACAGTGTCCCCAGCACGCCCCCCGTGGTGACCATTGCCCCTACCAAGACCGTCAATGGCGTCTGGAGGAGCGAGAGCCGGCAGGTGAGTGGCCGGGGCGCTTGGTGGAGCTGGGAGTGGCCACAGGTCACAGGTGTGGGGAAAGTGGCCTTCCACGGGGGAGGACTGGATTGTGGGGTTCAAATCCCTCCCACACTTGTGCTCTCCTGAGCCTTAGTCTTCTCTGAAAATGAGGTGACAACGGCATCTACCAGGAGGGTCTGTGCAAAGCAAGTCCGTTCGTGGGTGTCACTCACCTCCAGCTGCCCCCAGCCAGCACCGCGGGCCGGGCGCGTGCACAACGGGTCTCCTCGCGGCCCCGGAAGCTGGCATTCTGAGGTCCAGGTGCCAGCGGCCTCCGCAGCCTCGCTCCCCAGCCTGTAATTGGCCATCTCGTCCCTGTGTCTTCGTGTGGTCTTCCCTCCGTGCCTCTCTGTGTCCTAATCTCTTTAAAGGACACCAGAGTGGGTTAGGCCCACCCTCAGGGCTTGCTTAACTTAGTCACCTCTTTAAAGGCCCTGTCTCCAAATGTAGTCACATGCTGAGGTCCTGGGGGTTGGGGCTTCAGCATGAGTTTGGCAGGGGGGGATACTAATCTAGTTCAGCCCATGACCCTGCGTAAAGTGCTTAAAATGGTATTGTATAATAGCTGCTATTACTGCCTATTGCTCAGACACGGAATTCAAAGAGGAAAAAGCCAGCCCCCATTTCCACATGACACATTTTTATGTTTCTGTCCTCGCTGTTGACACCTGCCCAGGAGGCCCTTCCTGACACTTTGGGTCCCCGTGGGTGGCCACTGCCAGGTGACTTGCCTGTGCAGAAGGAGCTGGTGGCCCTGGGAGCCGCTGCTCTGCACCAGCCCAGGGCTCGCCACCCCCAGCCCCGTGCCGGCTCCCCCTACACCTGCAAGCCCAGAGGAGCCCTTCTAATTAAGACACTGTCACTGTGCTCCTCTCCTGGATTTTTCTGCCAAGTTCCCTGAGGGATGGCACCACTTGGAAATACTAATTAAACCACAAAGAAAGTGGAGGGGGAGCTCCCACCTCGCCCCGTCTCAGCTCTGCTCTGTTGGGGGGGTGGGCGTGGGCATCAGCTTGATCACTCAGGGTCTGTCTTTTTTCTGACCTCGGCTGAGGGTCCCCAGCAAACCCTGGATCCCAGTGGGGATCCCTGGAAACAGCTGTGGCCTGGGATCCACCCGGGTATGGCCCTAACTCGACCCCCACCTTGGATGTGACAAGGCCTCCTGGATTGTCACCTGGCCAAGCCCCCCTGTGCTTTCCCAGAAGCTGCTGCCTTGGCATCATTTGCTCTGTCTCGTGTGTAGTTTGGAGGCTGGAGGGGCAGGGCGGGGCCCGGCAGGGACTCCGGCCAGAGGGGTTTGGAGCAGCTGGAACGGCCCCCTCGTTCTGGTTTGAGGGAGGACAGGCGTTCTTTGCCGAGCCTCCTGCCTCCCGAGAGGACCGTTGCCCTCACTGTCAGCCACCTGGCGGTCAGCCTTGACCTCGGGGCCCAGCCGCCTGGCTCAAACAGCTGCGCCTCCTTGCCTCTCCCCTGACTCACTCGGTCCAGGCAGTTTCTGAGTCCCGCTGTGGCCCTGGCTGGTGGCGGCTGCCCCAGCCCGAAACGTCCCCTTTGCTCCCGCCGAAGAGGGGCTGCCTGCTTCTCCCCTCCCTGCCAGGACCCAGGGTGCCTTGTAAACAGTCCCCCCACCCCCAGCACAGGCCTCCTCCCCGGCTCCTCACTCAGAAACATTGACTAACCCCGGAGAGAGGGCCAGGCCATAGATCTGCTCCAGCCGTCGGCGGTTAATGAAACACTGATGCCGTGGGGGGGGAGGGGGCAGCGCGGGAGGAAGGGAGCTGGATTAGCAGTTGATGTATGGCCCATCAGCTCAGCACAAAGGCTCAGTGGAGAATTTAATCCTTCTGGGGAGGGGAGCGCCGGGCGGGGCAGGAGGGCAGGAGAGGGGCGTCACTTCCTGAAGTGCTAGCCCAGGAGTCCCGGGGAGGGGGGTAGGGAGGCCCCTGCTCCCGGGTCACCGAGATTTCCCAGGTAGTCGGAGCTTGGAAAGGACAGATGAAATGAAAAATAGTCTATTCTAAAGCTAACAGGGCATGTCCTGTCTGTCTGACTGGAACCCTCTCTCATCACCAGAGAAGGAAGGATTTTCCTCCCTCCCTGCCTCCCCCTCATCCGTCTTCCTTTCATCGCCACAGCTGCGCCTGCAGCCTCGCAGCCGCGGTGCAGAAATGAAAGGCTGCCCACAGGTGCTCCTCGGTGCGCGCCGGCCGCCGGGGACGACAGGGGGAGCCCGGCCGGCGCTGCGGGGCGCCCTGCGGTGGCTGGCTGCGCCTCCTGGGCCTGGCCCGGGTTGGGGTCCGCTGCCGGGGCCCATCCCACCCTGGGCAGCCCTTGCGTGCCCTCCGAGCTGCGCTGACCTCATTCCCAGGTGCCTGTCCCACGCTTAGCAGGGCGGCAGCCAGACGGAAGGCATGTGGTTCTGGCCCACGGAACCCCCTGCCTGCCGCCCCTCTCCACCCCTGGCCTCTCTCCCTCCTTGCTTGTCTTGGGCCGGGACAAGGTGCCATCTGGCCCAACTGCCTTTCAGCAGGGCTTTGTTCCTCTGAGGAGAGAAGGGGACTCTACTCCACGGTGGCCCCAGTGAGGGGTGGACCCCTGGAGCTGGTCGGTGTAGAGCTGGGCACCTCCTTGTGACAGGCGTTGTGCCTGGCAGGGTGAGGGCATGCGGGAGAGCCGGCAGCCCCTCAGGCGGCAGGGCCTGCGGCGGGAGGGCTGGTGGTGGGGACGCTGAGGGCTTGGCGCGGCCCTGCTGCGTGTGAGCCCCTCCTGCCTCCTACGCCCCATGTTTCTCACCCACCTCCCATTACACCAGTGCATCTTCCTCACTGCGCTATGAACTGGGGCTGTAATTGGAAACTGAGGCACAGGACAGTTATGTAAGGGAGGAGCCATGTCCTAAGGTGAGCCGGGAGCCCCTCCACTGTCCGTGTAGGCAGCTGGAGGACCCCGAGGCCCTGTAGAGAAGTCTCTGGAAAACCCAGGTGTGGGAGTTCTGGGCTCCCGACTCTGACCCAGGGCGCCAGGGCGTGTGTGTGCACCATCCTTGACACCCGACGGCTGAGCACCCTCCCGGGAAGGGCGAGTTGGAGTCCGTGAACCTGCGAGACCCTCGCGGTGGGTGGAGGGGCCCTGCCAGCACGTGGGAAAGGAACAGATGTTACTGCTCATTAGAAATTCCAGTCAGCGGCTTGTCTCCTTCAATTAATTACCGCTGATGTGTCTTCTGGAGGACCGAGGCGGCGTGGCGGCGGCCTGGCCCGGGCGTGTTGGCGACTCCGCCTGATGGACGGCTGGGCCCGTCCCCGTGAGCCGCAGCCGCCCTGTCGGGCCTGCCCTGTGGCGCCCCGTCGGCAGCGTGAAGATGGATGGGCAGCCGCAGTGACCCGTCCCTTGCCACCTGCGTGGGGAGTTAGATAAACGGGGGGCTCTGCCACCCTGCTCCCGACTCTGACGAAGGCAGGAGGCAGAGCGGGCAGAGCAGCAGCGGGAGGAACAGGGAGCCGAGCGTCTCCTCAGGGGTCAGGCCTCGGCCCCACCGTCCGGCCCTCGGGTCCAGGCGTGCCGCGATGTGTCCAGTGGTCATTCTTAGGCTCCTCAGTGAGACCGTCGGAGGGTTATGACCCCGCCCATTTTCCGGGTGTTTGGCATTTTGTGGCCCAGCGGGAACACCGTGGGTTTGGAGCAGACAGACTTGGGCGTGTGCCCTGGAGGGCCCACCTGCCTTCTCCACACCCTGGGTGCTGCCTGGTCAGTAGTGGTCAGACCCGACGACGTGCAGGTCTGGCCAATGAAGGAAGCTCTGCCTGGGAGACGGGTTCGGGAGCGGGTGACCGCAGTGCAGGAGAGGCGTGGAATGGAGGCTGGGGGACTGTCACAGTGATGGAGCCCGCCGGGATGGCGGCTGCTCCAGGGTCCAGAGCGAGACCCCCGATTGCTCTCAGTCCTTCCCGGAGCCGTGCTTTTTCAGCCCCATAAATGACAGGGACAGCCAGAGCCTTCCGGTGCTGTGATTTCTTGAGAGCTGGACACTTCTGTAGATGGGGGTGCAGAACATCCCTCCATGTGTCTGGGGTGGCACGTCCGCCCTTGGTCCTGGCAGGGGCTTCTTGCTCCCCCCTCAAGCCTTGAACCATTCGCTTCTCCGGCTCCTCGGGCTCCATCTCTCCTCCCGGACCCCAGACCGCGCTCTCCGTCCGGGAGCCTGAGGCAGTTGGGGCCACAGCCCATCGCTGTCTCCCCCTCGGTGTGTGCAAAGGTGTCGCCAGACAGGCCCGGCCAGTCAAGGCCCTGCCGCTGCCTGCTCTGGCTGGTGCCAGAGCCACCCAGTGTTGGCTGGGGGCAGACCGGTCTGTCGAGCTCCGGGGCAGCGCCGGCTTCTTGAGGCTGAGTCACTCTGGGCGGCAGGGGTCGAGGTGTCCGCGAGGCGGAGCGCAGCTGTCAGCACCGTTGACATCTTGGCCCCTGGGGGAGGCCCGTGAGCGTCTGGGGATCCGCGAGCGAGCGGCCTGTGGTTGCATTCGCCCTGCTGCTGCGCAGAGCTCACTTCCTGAGGAGGCGGGGCTGGGCGGGGAGTGCTGGGACCAGCGTCACCCAAGTCCTCGAGCTTGGGTTTAGAGGTAACGTGACCTTGTGGGAAGTCCGTGCTGGAAGAGCGTGAGTGTTCTGTGCGGGGAGGGGAGCCCCTGCTTTCTGCCACGTCCCCTCGTGGACACTGGATGTGGGTCTTGGTGATCCCAGCAATCCTTGAGGTGGGCTCTGTCCTTCCCCATCGCGCCAGGGAGGGATCAGCCCCCCGCCCCCACCCTGAGTCACTGCTCTCTGTTGCCCACAGGACGCCAGCTCTCGGGGCAGCAGCAGTGGTCGAGAACGCCTCATCGTGGAGCCCCCACTGCCCCAGGAGAAGGCAGGGGGCCCGGCCATCCCCTCCCACCTGCTCAGCACCCCCTATCCATTCGGCATCTCCCCCAGCTCAGTCGTGCAGGACTCCCGGTTCCCCCCGCTCAAGTAAGTCTGTGGGCTGGGGGCCTGGGGCGGGCCCGAGGGCTTAGGGCCTGGGTCCGGCTGATTCTGAGGGCCAGCGGATGGCGGCTGGGCCCTGTCCCTCCGCCCCTGCAGTCCGTTTCCTTGCCGAGATGATGGCTGGCTCTCCCGTCTGCCTAAACCCCGGTCCTGGTTCCAGGGGCGAGGGTCCCTCAGGGCTGCAGGTAGCAGGCACGTGCCTGCTGGTGGGGACACAGAGGGGCCGGGCCGGCGAGGAGCAGCCGCCGCCGCCCACCTCTGTGCCCTGGGCCTCCTGCCAGCACTGGCATCTCGTTAGCGAGAGCCGGAACCTGTCCCCAGAGACTCGTCCTTCCCAGGGAGGTGGCGGCAGGGGGAGTGCGGGGAGGCTGACTCACTGCCCCGCCTGGAGCAGGCGCTTCGCTCACCTGTTCCCCGTCCTGCCTGCAGCCTGCAGCGGCCCGTGCACCACGTGGTGCCCCCCAGCACGGTGACCGAGGACTACCTGAGGAGCTTCCGGCCCTACCACACCACCGAGGACCTCCGCATGTCCTCCCTACCTCCCCTCGGCCTGGACCCTGCCACCGCCGCAGCCTACTACCACCCCGGTTACCTGGCCCCGCACCCCTTCCCCCACCCGGCCTTCAGGTGAGCTGTCTGAGAGCCTCCTCCCCCACAGTCCCCACCAAGTCACCAGGGCCGTTACCCTGTTACACGAGACTATACCCTCGCGTTCAGACACTAGTCTGCTTGACACAAAATGGAATGTTTCTCATGCCCTGGGGGCCAGACCCCAGTGAAAGCCTAGAACAGCCCCCCAACCTTTCAGGTTAGCCTTCAGGGGGCTGCCCTGGTAGAAATCCCCGTCATCTAAGCTGTCATTCCCCTCTTCCTCCTCCTGTTGGGGGCACCGCTGGCAGTACAGGGCTGTGAACGGAGCACCGGTTTTATGTAGAAGAGAGTAACCACTTTGCTGTGTAACCACTGCGGTGCAGATGTGTGTGGTTGCTGCTCTGTGTAGAAGCTTCCTGCATCTGAGCCTGGTGGGGTGCAGTTGGTTATGCTGTGGACGCTGCTCACATGGATGAGGGCTGCTGGTCAGACCTGGGAGGGTCCTGGCCTGGCTGAGCCTCGAAGTGGCAGGCAGGGCCTCGGAGACCCAAGCTGTTGGCACCTCGGGGCTTCTGTCTGCAGGGGGCTTTGGGCCGGCCGTGGATGTGGCCGCAGCTGAGCCTTTGTGGAGGCTACAGGACCAGGGCCTGCCTTTTTCCCTTGAACTTCGGTGTTCACTGGCCTGTCGTCTTTGCACAGGATGGATGACTCCTACTGCCTGTCCGCCCTGCGGTCGCCCTTTTACCCCATCCCCACCCCCGGCTCCCTGCCTCCGCTGCACCCATCAGCCATGCACCTTCACCTCTCTGGGGTCCGCTACCCTCCTGAGCTGTCCCACTCGTCCCTGGCGGCGCTGCACTCAGAGCGGATGTCCAGCCTCAGCGCCGAGAGGTGAGTCACATCCCACACCACACCCTCTGTTCCCCGGGCCCCTGTGGCACTGGAGAAAAGCCCAGCTGAGGCCTGGCTTGGCCACTTTGGGGCTGGGTGGCTCCTCAGCCACTCCTGTCCTGAGGCTGCTCACCTGTAAATGGGACAGTGACCGCTTCTTGGCATCTGTTGGAGTCACCATCTCCTGGCATAAGCTTTCAGCGAGGCTCAGGGCGTTCGTACACAATTTGTATCTTACCGACTTCGAGGTTCTAACGCCCACCACTGTTCAGGTTCGAGTGCTGGGGTTTTCCACGAAAGCTTTGGGCCTGGCTGCTGTCAGTGCCTCACTTCTGGGAATCCTTGTTTGTGGACTGTCCCTGGCCCCCCTTCACACTGGAGCTCAGCCTGCCCCTCTGATCCCTACAGGCTGCAGATGGACGAGGAGCTGCGACGGGAGCGTGAGCGCGAGCGGGAGCGGGAAGCCGACCGGGAGCGGGAGAAGGAGCGCGAGCGCGAGCGGGAAAAGGAGCGCGAGCGGGAGAAGGAGCTGGAACGCGAGCGGGAGAAGGAGCGGGAGCGGGAGCTGGAGCGCCAGCGGGAGCAGCGGGCCCGGGAGAAGGAGCTGCTGGCCGCCAAGGCGCTGGAGCCAGCCTTCCTGCCTGTGGCCGAGCTGCACGGGCTGCGTGGCCACACCACAGAGGAGCGGGCCAAGCCCTCGGAGCAGCTGACCCCAACCCGAGCAGGTACCTGGCGGGGGGACAGAGGGAAAGGCTTAGGCCACGCGGGTGGCCTGGCTGCAGGGGTGCGCCGGCCAGTGTCTGACAGCCAGCGCGCTGAGGGGAAGGCCCGATTCAGTGGCGTCTGCCAACTTCCATAGCATAGACTCCACCATGGCCGGCTTCCAGCTACAAACCTGAGGCCGCTGGACAAGGAGTTGGGAAGAGATGCTCAGTGACGCACAGCACAGATACAGCAGACACAGGCGACCTCAGGAGTATATACAATAATCAAATGTAGCAGAAGAATTAGGAAACCATGAGCTTTGAGTCATTTTTACCTTTATTTTTCATAATTAATTTCATTACAAATACACGTATCTAACTTCCAATAAGGGTTTATTTAATAACCGGCTCGCATGACTCCTAAAAATGTAACAGCCTGCCCTCGTGAGCCAGCACGTGCCTTTCCGGCCCTCCACTGCACGTGGGTCAGCCCTGGACTCGGGGGGAGCAGCACCTGCCAGAGGCCACATTTCTCTTGGGACAAAGCATACTCTCTGAAATGATCCATGAGGCCCCCTTCTGGTCGCCTTGGTCCTTGCTGTGGGGTGGCAGGCTCTCTGAGCGGTTGGGGGCAAAAGAGAAGGAAACCGGAGTGAGCCGATCCTGCTGAGGTGTCGTGGCTTTTCTCCCTCCACAGAGAAGCTGAAGGATTCAGGCCTGCAGGCGCCCAAGCCTGTGCAGCACCCCTTGCACCCAGCACCCGCTCCCCATCACACCATGCCCAGCCTTCTCTCCAACCACAGCATCTTCTCTCTGCCGGGCAGCAGCGCCGCCACGGCCCTGCTCATCCAGCGCACCAACGAGGAGGAGAAGTGGCTGGCGCGGCAGCGGCGGCTGCGGCAGGAGAAGGAAGACCGGCAGTCGCAGGTGTCCGAGTTCCGGCAGCAGGTGCTGGAGCAGCACCTGGACATGGGCCGGCCCCCGGTGCCCGCGGAGCCTGAGCACAGGCCCGAGAGTGCCAGGTAGGGCTCGCCGGGTGAGGGTGCCTGGGAGGCATTTGTCGCACTCAGATTTATTTCTAGCAAAGACAACACTTACTGAGCACCTCTGGTTTGCCCAGCATCCTGCGGAGTGTTTCCACCTACCACGTTGCGTTTTCATGTTCTAACTGCTGTGTGCCTACAAGGAAGCAGACTCTGAGGGGTGAGAGGAGATACTCAGAGGCACCCTGTCCCTAAGGAGCAAAGCCCACCAGGCCAATGTCCAGAGCTGGGGCCCTGCCCACGCAGCCCAGCTGTGTCTCCAGGGGACGTGCATGGCTTTGGAAAGCACGAGGGAGAAGCTTTAAGTCATCATTATAGCCTGTTCTTGCAATCTCCCTGTTTTCAACTTCAAATTTTAAGAGAAGGGGACTGCCTTTAATTTTTACTTAAGAAAATTAACCTTACTGCTTTAGTAATAAAACATATAACCGTTTCCCGGCCCCATTATGAAAGCATCCCCCAGTATGCGTTTGCGCCTCTCTCTGGGTGCCCCAGCTGCCCACACTTGCTTGTGACCTTGGCCTCAGGGCCCCATTCACGTAGGTGCCCCCTAGGCCTCCCTGCTTCCACCTGTTGGTCTGGCTCATCTATTGTCCCCTACCTTACTCCTCATCTCTCCAGGGCTCGTTCCAGAGGGCGGGGCTGAGACCTTTAGCCAGAGTTGGTGGAGAGCCCGGCCAGACCTCCGGAGCTCTGTCTGGGCCTGCTTTGGGGACTCAGGGACACTGGACATTCTTTCCCTCTCTGGGCCTCAGTTTCCTCAGCAGTACACAAGGGGGGTTGGGTGGGAAGATTTCTGGGCGTCTTTCTAGCTCTTACCTATCTTTCTGACCCAGGATAAGGAGCACTTGGGTATCTGGGCGTTTTAAATGGCTCCTTGCTCCCTCCCTTTCGTTCCCCCAGCTCTTGGCTGACTGATGTGTTTTCTCGCTGTGTCCTGGGCTCAACTGGCCCATCCAGTGGCCCTGCCTCTGTGCCCATTGTTCAGTAGGGCGGTGAGGGGATTCACTAGGCTCTCCGGGTGGGACTGTAGGCAGGCCCCCTGGCTGGGTCTTCCTGCAGCCTGGGGCCTGCCGTCGGCTTCTCTGGGCCCACCCTGAGGCCACACAGAGGCTTAGCCTTGTCTGCTTGTGAGCTGTTCTCTGCTCCTCAGACTCCCTTCATGCCCAGAGGACTGGGCGAGCAGCCAGCACATGTCCACATCTCCTGATAAAATCTGCAGCTCTGCTTCCCTCGGGCATGTTCCTCAGCTCAGGGCCCCAGCGGCCCGGGGCAGCTGCCAGGGCTCCAGCAGGGGTGGCTCCCACCTCAGGGCCCAGCAGCCCTGCGCAGGCCTCGGGTGCAGGGGGATGGCCCCCTGCCCTCGCCTGGCCTCAGCAGTCCCTATGGCAGCAGGGGGCACGTTCAGCCTTACAGCAGCGTGAATTTGACGTTCTGACCGTCCCTTGTGCTACAAGCTAGACAGCCGTTCAGTGCTTGGCTGCAGTGCTCGAAATATTTATTCTACTGATGGGCTTTATTCCTTTGTTGTTTACGTAACAACTTGCTTGGTTCCCTTTTGGCCTCTGCTGATTGGAGGTGGTGCAGCAGCATCAGGGTTATCTCCCGGCCTCAGTCCCGTCTAGGAGAAGCCTTGGTGGCTGTGGTTAAACGTCTCCTTCCTCGGCCAAGCAGGGAGACCGGAGAGCCTGGTCCCCTGGGTAGCATGGGCTTTCCTTTAAAAAAGAAAAGATACACTTTAGGGAAACAACACCCAAATAGCCTTTTGTTAAATCTTGTCTTAAATGCACTAAGGAAATAGTCGTTTAGGAGGGCTGCATGGCAAAACCACCGGTCTGGTGGACAGGGCCCAGCCCGGGGCTGCTGCAGTTCTGACGGGGCCCACTGGGGGTCAGCAGAGGCACAGGCCCACCCTGGCTGTGAGGGTGCCCCCTGCATCACGGGCAAAGCAGGCCCTGGAAAGCTGGTCTCTCTCACTGCTGTCTGGGGGGGACAGTGGGGAGAGTGGACTTATGGCCACCTTGGAGGCAGGCGGCCCACTCTCCATTATCTGTGCACAGCTTGGCATTTCTGGACGTGGGTACCAGTGGCAGGGCCACCCCTTTGGCACCAGAGTTCTGTCTTTATTCTCTGTAACGGGACTCCTTTGGAAAACAAAGATGAGAGTCTGTCCCCACAGCAGTTGATTGGGATTCAGGAGTTGGTGGATCAGAATGAACTGTTGCAAAGTTTTGGATGAGAAACTGGATAGAAAAAGGGTCTGGCTCGGGCCCGAGACCGTCCCTGTGTCCTCAGCAAGCAGGGTCCCTCCACCTCCCAGCCTCCATGTGCTCTCAAAAGCAGGTCTGCATATACTTCCCTTGAGTTGTTTGAAGAGGAAGTGGAGTCATGTGAAACGGCCAGTACTCAGGTGAGGAGTGGAAGCTGCGTCCTTCCCTCCAGCCCCTGGTCAAGTGGCTTAGAGAAGGAGGCCTTCGCACCCCTCTAGTGCCTGACTCTTGAAGAGGGCCCCGGTCCGGGCCTTCTGTGAAGCTGCCTCTGACAGCTGGGTGCTGGCAGGCAGCCTGGGAGGCCCGTGGGTGGGTCGCCGGTGTGCCCGTGTTCTCACGACTCATGGCTTGGTCTGTTCCCTCCCTAGGCCGGGACCAAACCGTCACGAGCCAGGCAGCCGAGACCCCCCGCAGCACTTTGGTGGGCCCCCGCCCCTCATCTCGCCCAAGCCCCAGCACCACTCCGTGCCCACAGCCCTCTGGAACCCGGTGTCCCTGATGGACAGCACCCTGGAAACGCGGCGGGCCCCCGAGAGCCACCCTCTGCACAGCCACCCAACCCCGTTTGAGCCCAGCCGCCAGGCAGCTGTCCCGCTGGTGAAGGTGGAACGGGTCTACTCAGAAAAGGTGGAAGAGGGGTCCCGGAAGCGCGAGGCCACCCCACTGGACAAGTACCAGCCGCCACCACGGGAGGCGGGGAGCCTGGAGCACCAGACCTTTCCTCACGGGCCTGGGCCCTTCCTGGCTGAGCTGGAGAAGTCCACCCAGACCATCTTGGGCCAGCAGCGGGCCTCCCTCACCCAGTCAGTGCCCTTTGGGGAACTCACTGGACCCCTGAAGCCAGGCTCGCCCTACCGGCCCCCGGCGCCACGGGTCTCTGACCCTGCCTACATCTATGATGAGTTCCTGCAGCAGCGCCGGAGGCTGGTCAGCAAGCTGGACCTGGAAGAGCGCAGGCGGCGAGAGGCCCAGGAGAAAGGTCCGGTCCCCCTGGGTAGCCCCTGTCCTCCTGGGATTGGGGAGTGCTAGTGTCAGCCACTCAGTGCCTCCTACTACTGTATCCCTGCCTCCCACTCGGGTTTTAGCAGCACCAGGGAGCAAGGTCACTGGCTTCTGTGTAGCTACCTGCTAACTCTCCTAGGGAGAAAGACCCAGGGCCTTGTCCGTCCTGCCAAAATGCATATTGTCCTGAAAAGCCAAATCAAAGCCTGTCTGTAAAGATGGTTCCACAGAAATGCATGATTAGTAAGTGATGAACAGAGGCTGTAAGATAGTTTTAAAAATTAATAGTGCAGCATAACAGGGGGAGGCTATTGAGAGACTGTGCCTGGGCCCAGCGGGGCTCCATGTAGGGAGCTGCCGTCGGCAGTTGTGGGCAGGTGGGGCCTGGTCGGGGCAAGGAGGGAGTTCTGGCCGCCACCTTACTGCTTCTGCGGGACTCAACCAGTAGCTCCCTGGGTTCCCCAAAGAGCCAAGGAGAATAGGTGGGCAGGCCCAGGGTGAGAACGGCTGTCCCCATCTGCAGATCCCATCGAACCAGGAGGGATCAAGGGCCCCAGACCAGTTTTTTTGTTGGTGTGCCCCCCTCACCGCCCCGGCCGGAAACTTGAATCTTGCATGGTATCAAATTTAGTCTTTTAGCCAGAAGCTGGGGCCAAGGCCAAGTCTTCCTGGGTTGCTGGTCTAGGCTAGATTTAGGGCACAAGGAGGACTTTCTCCTCTACTCACCTTGTCAAGAAGAGTCGGGAACCCCTGGTGCCCTTGGGTGCAGGGATTCTGCTGCTGTGCTCTGCACACTGGGTTTGCATGCCTGCTCTGTGCCTTCGAGACAGCGGGGATCTAAGTGTGCCTGTTCCCTCCCGGGTCATGGGCCCAGCTGGGCACGGCAAGAATGAGCAGATGTGCACACAGTCTTGGGTTGCCATGGACACAGCCCCAGGCCCATGTGACGAATGGTCCCCTGCTGGGGATCCGTGTCAGCTCGGGGACTGCCTGGCCACTTGGGGGCTATGGGTCCAAGCCAAGCCGGAGTCTGCCTCCTGCCTCCGCCTGCCATCCCTGAAAAAACCTTTAGGACTAGGAGGTTAATGCACATTTCCCCAGGGTTGAAAGGAAGCCAGGTTTGGGGGTGCTAACAGGGGCCCGCAGGGCCTGGCCTGATGGATGGGTCTGCACACACAGATCACGCGGTGCCCGTCCCATGTCCATACACTAGAAAATAGAGTCTTCTTGCCCAGCTAAATACATCTGTTCTTGACATCAGGATACTACTATGACCTGGATGACTCTTACGATGAGAGTGATGAAGAGGAGGTCAGGGCCCATCTCCGCTGTGTGGCCGAGCAGCCGCCCCTCAAACTGGATACATCGTCCGAGGTATCTGGAGTCTCGTCACTGCTGTGTCAGCTTATGGGCCCGGCTTCTGGTGCCTATATTGGTGCCTGCCTCTTGGCTTTCCCACTGCCCGGGGAGACCCCCCACTTGCTGGGGTCTCCCTGTGCTCCTTCAGTCCCTGCTGATTGCAGGTGTCCGGGCACACTGTCAGGGTCCCCCTCTGAGGTCCAGCACAGAGTTGGCTGTGGTGCATGGGTTTTGAGGACCCCAGGAGGGACCCCTGGGACAGTGGAATCACGCCACTGCTGGTGGTTTCAAACTCATTTGTTTTCTTTCCCAATCTAGAAGCTAGAGTTTTTGCAACTTTTTGGCTTGACCACCCAACAGCAGAAGGAGGAATTGCTGACCCAGAAGCGGAGGAAGAGGCGGCGGATGCTGAGAGAGAGAAGCCCATCACCCCCAACAATTCAGAACAAGCGGCAGACGCCTTCACCGAGACTGGCCCTGTTCACCCGCTATAGCCCTGATGAGATGAACAATAGTCCCAACTTCGAAGAGAAGAAGAAGTTCCTGACCATCTTCAACCTGACCCACATCAGTGCTGAGAAGAGGAAAGGTAGGGCCTCGCCTGGGCCTTTTGAGGGTGGGACTTACTCAGAGCTTCTGAAGAAGGACTCCTGGGGACATCCGGGACCCATGTTCCGGGTGGAATATGAAAACACTTCAGCCCCGGGCTCTCTTAACTCCTTCTGGCTCCTCAAGGGAGCAACAGCTCCTCTGTTCTCACAGACCTGCCCCTGAATCTCTGCCTTTTTCCATCTGAAACTCAAATTGTCCCATTTGAAGCCCGTTTTCTCATTTTATCTGAGACAGGAAAAATTTGCTGGTGTTCTGTGTGTAAAGCTGCTCTTGTCACTTGAGATGCGGGTTTAACGGCCCTCTTGGGCACAAGGCACAGGTGCGCCTTCCTGTGGCAGAGCACTGCAGGCTCTGCGGCGGCAGGCGTTTCCTCTTACTGGGCCTCTGACATAGCCTACGGGCCTTCGCGCTCTGATGGCGGGAGGCTTGGGCAGTGTGTCTGACAGAGAGCGCCAGCGCACATTGCGAGTGGATGCTTTGCCCTGAGAGACGCTTCCGGATTGGCCGTGTTGGGGCTGAGTCTTTGGGCAGGAACACGTAGTGTAGAAGACATGGTGTGGTCCACTCTCTGGGCCTGTCCACTTCCTTGGGCTGCCGCACATGCTCGCTTAGTGCCGGGATATTGGTTCGCGCGAGAACTCGGCCTGTCTTGGGTGCTCATTTGCCTATTTCCAAGTCCTCCTTGCTAATACCTCCTCGCCCCTCTCTGGAAGGAAGTCAAAAGGAAAGCAAAAGTGTGTATTGGTTACTTAGTTGCTTCTTTCTTCATTATTGGAGTATATCATTTTATTTTTCGTCTCTAACCAATAAGTTGGAATTCTTGTTTTTACTATAGAAGGGGCAGTGATGTGTTAATAACCAGTACAAATCCCTGCGAACATGCATAGTCTGCTTGTAAAAAGTATCTTTTCACCTGACTTTGATTCCTAGAGGAAGCCACCAGTGATGTGGCCATTTAAGTCTCAGCAAGAAGTGCCACTGCAACAAGAATTTGTGGTGTCGAGCATCACGAGTCTGTTCCTTTTCAGTAAATGGCCACCATCGTGGGAACTGTGCTCTCATGCTGGGGCTGGGGAGGGGGCGGGGGGGCCTGGAAGCAAACTGCGCTTCCAGAGGTGCTGTGTGGATCCTTGTGTGGGACCGACATTTTTGTCTTTTAAATAAGAATGCATCCTCGGAAGTCACCTTGGAAGATCATAGGTACCCATTATTTTGTGTAGCTGTCAGCACCATACACACGGCTATTTTTGGAATACATCTGACATGTTATGTAGTAAAAGCTGCAAGGAATCTGGGCTCGCTCTAACATGACGTTTTCTTCCTTTAAACACTGCCTGTCCCTGTGGTGCCTGCTTTGTGTTTTCCTTGGTTTAAAGGACTCACACCTGCCAGTCACAGCCTGGGCTAGAATCCTGCTCCCCTTCCCTCTCAGAAATGATGCAACTGTCTTGTTAATCTCAGGCTGCTTTCCTCATAGACAAAGAGAAACTTGTCGAAATGCTCCATGCCATGAAGCAGAAGGCGCTGTCAGCAGCAGCGGCAGACTCACTCAGGAACTCTCCGAGGGACAGTCCTGCTGTCTCCCTGAGTGGTAAGGCCCAGGGCGGGAAGAACAGCCCCATCTGCCACTGCCCAGGACTGTCCAGTGGGCTGCCCAGGGTCAGAAGCGACTGCTCAAGGCTTCTTCATCATGAATCTTTCCTCCTGGAGACAGAACGCGCTTCTCTCCATCTCTCACACAAGCCTCCTCCATGATTGTGAAGGATCTCCTCGGGACAGAACATGAGAGTTGGAAGTCAGGGCTCAGAGAGTTAAGGGGGAGGGTCCTGGCTTCCGCAGAACTCAGTGTGGTAGCCATCGTCCGTCAGTCCAGTGGTGGCCCGAGCCATCGAAGCCCTGTGTCCCGGGTCTCAGCACCACTGCCTTGGCCCTGCTGCTCCTGTCTGCCCTTCACTGGCTCTCCTCCTGCGTCTCTCGTGCTCATTCTGCCTTCCAGGCCTCTCCAACATCTGCTTTCACACCTCTCTCTTATGGCTTTGATTATACATCACTGAACTGCTGAGTGGAGCAGACCTTTATTGTCCAGCCCTGTTCTTAACTCCTAACACAGTCTTTCTTGTCGGGTTGGGCTATGTAACTTCCTACACTTTGGATGACCTAAAGCAACTTGCTTCCTCCTTCAGATTCTTTTTCTTTCCAGATGCCTACCTGGGGCACCTCTCAAGGACGGACTTGCTGCTACCACACCCCATCTTCAGGCCACTCAGTGTGCACTGACATTTAATTAAACAGCCCCAAGTCTTGGTCCTCTGTACTAGGTCTTTGATAAATGTAAACTGTAGAGGTCAGGGTCCATCTGGTCACTTGCAGCTTTTAACATTTTCCTCGCTTTCTGTCTCTAAAAGAACCAGCCACGCAGCCAGCCTCTCTGGATATGGAAAAGCCTGTGGGTATTGCTGCCTCCCTGTCTGACGTCCCAAAGGCCACAGAGCCTGGGAGACTGGAACAGCTCCGGCCACAGGAGCTGTCGCGAGTCCAGGAGCCGACTCCTGCCAGTGGCGAGAAGGGCAGGCTGAGTGAGGCCCCTGGGGGCAAGAAGAGCCTGAGCATGCTGCATTACATCAGGGGCCCCGCGCCCAAGGACATTCCCGTGCCACTGTCCCACAGCATCAATGGGAAGAGTAAGCCGTGGGAGCCTTTCATGGCAGAAGAGTTTGCACATCAGTTCCACGAGTCCGTGCTGCAGTCCACCCAGAAGGCCCTGCAGAAGCACAAAGGTAAGGAGGCTGCAGTGTTACAGGAGCGCTGGCCGAGGCTCACGGGCCTGCCCCTCTGGACCTTCAGTGTGTCTGAGGCACCTGGGGAGGTCAGGTTGTTAGAGGCGGGTCCTGCCGCAGCAGCTCTGAGATGCCCCCATTCCTCGCAGGTGCTCAGGTGATGCTGATGCTGCCCATCTGCGGGCCATACTGGGGGGAAATGTAACATGTGATGCCGTCTTGAGTTTAGTAGAAGCACTTTTAGTAAGGTCAGGCGAGGTGCCTCTCTGGCAAAAACAGGATCCAGCAGAGGGTTTTCCCAGTGTCCCTCACATAATACTTACCTGGAAATCTCCCCGTCCTTTAATAACTATGCTCAATGGGTGTTTCACCAAGCCAAGCGATCACTTTATGACCTAACAGAGATGGGAGCCCCACGAGGGAGCCCCAAGATCCACTCCTCTCTGACATTTCGGTGCGAGTCACTGGAGGTCGGGGAAGCAGGGCTGCTGCATCTCATCCCCACTGTTTCTCCTCCCTAGGGAACGTCACTGTTCTCTCGGCAGAGCAGAACCACAAAGTCGACACATCCGTCCACTACAACATTCCTGAGCTGCAGTCCTCGAGCCGGCTGCCTTTGCCCCAGCACAACGGGCAGCAGGAGCCCACGGCTCTGAGGAAGGGCCCCCTCACACAGGAGATGGACCAGGACTCGGAGGAGGAGGAAGAGGAGGACGAAGAGGATGATGAAGAACCCCCCAGGCGCAAGTGGCAAGGGATTGAGGCGATTTTTGAAGCTTACCAGGAACACATAGAAGGTACAAAGGGGAGCAGGGAGCCGATTGAGGCCCCAGGAAAGAAAGTGGATGAAAGTGAATAGACGAATCACTGCAGGAGTTCACTGCCAGCATTGGTATCATCTAAGTGATAGCACTGCAGATTTTCTGGGGCACAACTAGATACTAACACTAGAAGGTAGATTTTCCTTCGCTGTTTTGCCCATTTCAAGAACCATTTCTCAGGCTTCTGCAGGTTCCTGGGCTTGCTTATAATGGTAATTCCTCGCAGACAAACTTCACACCGTTCTTACCAGAGAAACTGAAGTACCAGGTGCTTGCTACTGCTAAGTATGACCGCCCAGGGCCTTGCCCTCTGTGCTGTCTTCCTCTCTGCCTCTGCCTTTTCTCTTTTTTTTTAACTTAATTTTAGACAGGAAGGGGGATGGGAGAGGAAGAAACATAGATTTGTTCCTCCACTTATTTAGGCATTCATTGGTTGATTCTTGTATGTGCCCTGACCTGGGATTGAACCTGCAGCCTTGATGTATTGGGATGATGCTCTAACCAACTGAGCTACCCAGCCAGGGCAACTATTCTGAATCTTCTGTCAGTCTTAACATTTGTAGCCACATACAAGGGTCCTGGAGAATGAAAAGTTTATCAGTTTAACTGAGCCCCAAAATAGCCAGGCCTGATTGCTCTCTGAGCCGGCCTCATTACCTGAAGCGTCTCGGTGCTGGTGGTGGTTTCCCTCACAGGCTCTGTCATCCTCCTGGACCAGCACTTTGTACAGAGATGCAAGCCCCGGTCAGCTGCCAGAATGTTTTATTCTCAACTTGGAGTGTACCCTCCACCATGCCTGGTGAAACACACCCTGGGGGGACTCAGGCACGCACACCCGTCCCGCACTGGTCTAGTGTACACACCCAGGTTTGGGTGCTCATGGAGCTATAGCATGGGCGTTGTGCTTCTAGCACACCACCTCGCTTCTCTGCACCTTGCTCTCCTTGAGGTGCCTGCAAAGGCCCCATCTAGCTTCAATGGAGACTGGGTGCTATGAACTTGATGCAGGGAGAAGTAGAGGTGTACCCATCCTTTCCCTCCGTAGTGAAACAGGCAGGTGGATTACTGAGAAAAACCTCTTGGACTTAGGGCACTGACTGGTGCTCGGGCCTCCTGGTCTCTTGGTCTTGCCAGCGTAGTGAGCCCTGGCCTCTCTGCACTCGCCTTCCTCACTGCACTGGTGGTGCTGTCAGCTTGACACAAGTGGAGAAGTGCCAGCCACAACTGGCAAAACCCAGGCTGCCACATCCTACTTAATTTATTGCCCTATTGTAGAAGAGTTTTACCAAGCACTATTATGTTGTAAATATAGTAAATATAAACACTTGATTATGCATATAATAATCATTTCAAATACTTTGAAAAATCAGACTAACAAAAGAGATGCCCAACCAGAGCATCAACTCGTATAGTTGGTTCACTTATTTTCCTCCTTCAAATGGAGTCCTTTATTTGCATCTGTCCATCACTCACCTTATTCTTTTTTTTTTAAATTTTTTCTTTATCCTCACCCAAGGACGTTTTCATTTGCTTTATTTACTTATTTAAGGATTTTATGTATTCATTTTTAGAGAAAGGGAGGGAGAAAGGGAGAGAAACAGCTGTGTGAGAGAGAGAGAGAGATACATCGACTGGTTGCCTCTCGCATGCCCCCAACTGGGGACCCAGCCAGCAACCCCAGCATGTGCCCTGACCAGAAGTCAAACTGGAGACCTTTCTGTTCAAGGCCAACACTCAGTCCACTGAGCCACAAGAGTCAGGGCCATTTGCTTTTTTTAGAGAGAAAGGGAAAGGGACATCGATGTGAGAGGAGTATCAACTGGTTGCCTTTGTAGGCACCTGGGCCAGGGATCCACACCGGGACTGGGGATTGCACGTGCCCAGACTGGGAACGAATCCCCAGCCTATGCACGTGCCCCAACCATGAATCAAACCTGAGACCTTTCGGTTATGGGACTATACTCCAATCGCCGAGCCACGCTGGCCTAGGCCACATGTTATTCTTTAAGTACATACGTATGTACCCAGAAGCCATATATAGCATTACTTTTTATTTTAAGGGAGCAAAACGTATCCACCTGTCCTGGGTTGATGTCTGTCGGTGCCTCATTTGGGAATTCCTTCCCTACCGCCAAGGACGTATTCTGTATTTCCTTCTGAAAGCCTTCACGTTCTGTTTTCCATGTGCCTAGCATTCACTTCTGTGTAAGAAATACAGCAGAAGTCTAACTTCATTTTTCCCGCCCAGGCAACCAGCTATCCTGGCAGTTCACAGGTGCCCCGCCCCCCCCGGGGGTGTGCCTGTCGCACAGGGCCCTCGCCCATGCCCGGGTGCTGTTCTGCTCCGTCTCTTGGTGCCCTGTCCTGCCCCCGTGTCGTGCCCCGTCTCTGCAGCTCTCCATTGTCTGGGGTAACTCGCCATGGCCTGTTCTTCTCTTACAGCGCAGCTGTTCTTGGCCTTCGGTTTTCCTCGGTGAATTTTGGTCTCACCTATTCCTGTTAGAATTTTCAGTTGTGCTCAATTTGCAGATTTGGGAAGAATTGATATCTTTGATAGTGATGTTATTCCATTTATGAATATGGTAGTTAATTGTATTAAAAATTTTTGCTGACTTTCTCCATGAGTTTTTGTTACATTTTAGATATCACTTTGTTAAGGATTTTTAATTTTTGTATCCCTTATTGGTTAAATATCATAGATCAGACCCGGAGATTATAAGTTCTTTCCTTTTGAGTATTTACCTTATTTCTGTCATACTGCATTGCCTAGAACCTCTAAGCCGTTGAATAGAAGAGGCACTAAGGGGGCTCTTGTCTCGTTAAACTTTAGAAACAGTCTATCAAAGCATCCCATTTGCTGCTGAGCTTATGGTATATGATTGCCAAAGGTTAACCAATGCATTTTCTATATCCATGAGATGACAACCCTATTTTTTCACCTTTGTTTTCTAATGTTTCCTGCTTGCCAAATTTGACTTGTTAGTACTTCTCATATTTTAAGTGTTTTAAGTGGTATTAGATGCCAGTTTTAATTGTATTTTATTTTGCTATCACAGTTCTAGCTTTTGTAAAATTAGGTAGCCTTTGTTGGTTGTTTTTATCCTCATCCGAGGACATGCTAATTGTTTTAGAGAGAGGAGAAGGAGTGGAGCGGGGGGTGGAGAAACAGCAATATATGGTTGCCTTTCATGCACCCCATACTGGGGACCTGGCCAGTTACTCAGGCATGTGCCCTGACTGGGAATTGAACCAGCAGCCCTTTCGGTCAGAGGCTGGCTCTCAATCCACTGAGCGACACCAGTCAGGGCAGCTTCTTAACCAGTATCCCTTAAATTGCCTTTCAATGCTCGATCCTTTGTTTTTGATTCCACCAGGCTAGATCTAACATAGTAACACTGACGTACTTACTAGCGTGATACAAAGAGCTTGGGAGCATTGTGGTCCGAAGTAGAGTGTTATGCTGGCTGCATTAGAGAGAGGGAAAACAATTGCCAGGCCCTATGGACCCTGTGTACAGTAAATGTATCAACATCGCTTGTCTTTTCAGAGCAAAATCTGGAGCGGCAGGTGTTGCAGACGCAGTACAGACGGCTGGAGGCCCAGAACTACAGCCTCAGTCTCACAGCAGACCAGCTTTCCCACAGCATGGCGGTGAGTCTTGGGAACACCACACATGGAAAAAGGAAGGAAAATCAGCTCCTATTGGGGTTTTCTCAAGATACCCTATGCTTTTTTGGTTTAACCTTTCATGTTTGCATTTAAGGGCACCCATATAAACGTTTTAGGAGGGAAATTCAGGGGTCAGTTGATTAACCTAGCTAAGGAAGAGGTGCCATTAATTTGTGGAATATTGATCCTGGAATGAGGAAGATGCTATTTATATACTGTCCCTTTGGGGGGATTATTTTTTGCCTTTGTCAGTCTGCCCTGCTGTGGTTTGCTAAGGAGAAGGGAAGAAGATTTTACTGAAGAAGTTATTGAGGAAAACAAACCACCTCCTTCCCCTCTGCAACCTGGCTCAACAGGTCTTCCAACTGTGACATGTGACAAACCCTGAGGGCCTCCTCCCAGTGCAGGGATGTGGGGTTTATATCAGGTGTGCAGATTTTGGCCATTCCTGAAGCAGCAAAAGTTGTATGGTATCAGGGCTTAATTTTTAAAAGTTCACAGTTGAATCTGAGACAACAGTGGATGCTGGTTCTCTGAGAGCAGGTATTGTGAGACTCCACAATGTTGGAAGAATCAGTTCAGACTTACCCCGGAGCCCACTGTCAGAACACTGGGAGGAGCTTTGCAAACTCCCGAATGATTAGCCTTGGCTGGTGTGGCTCAGTGGGTTGGACACAGTCCTTCAAACCAAAAGGTGGCCAGTTCAGTGGTTCAGTTCCTGGTCAGGGCACATGGCTGAGTTGCAGGCCAGGCCCCCTGTTGGGGGCGTGTGAGAGGCAACCAATTGATGCTTCCCTCTCTTTTTTCCTCCAGTCCCCTAGAAAAATAATCTTAAAAAGTGCCAAAAGTTTACTTGTCCAAGTGGCCTCCAGCACGTTTCTGCATCACATACGTTTCGATGAAGCCAGTTTGTTGAATGTGAATTCCTCTCTCTGCAGGAACTGAGGAGCCAGAAACAGAAGATTGTCTCAGAAAGGGAGCGACTCCAGGCGGAACTGGATCACTTACGGAAGTGCCTTGCGTTGCCTGCAATGCATTGGCCTAGGGGTTACTTTAAGGGATATCCTAGGTGACGGTTTCCCTTGCACTAGGCCGAACCTATAGTATAGAAATATTATCTATTTTATTACCTTGAATATTTAATATTTTTCACTGGGAGGTTTGAAGCTTAAAAAAAAAAAATAAGAATGTGCCATGCATGAAGCAAAGGATTGGATTCCAGGCTCCAGAAAAAGAACGAACTCGCCTTGACTTCAATGCAATTGAATCACCTTTGTAATTCAGCGAGCAACCAATGTAGGACAACGCCCATAGTTTATTTTTTAAAGGCCGTTTTATTCTTTCTTTCCCCATGTCACATTTTTAAACCTGAAAATGAAGGCTCCATTACCAACACTAAAACTTTTATCATTTATAGCCCCTGGGTGTATAAGATTGGCTCAAACTGCTTGTGTTCTATTTCTTGTGTTGCCATATTACTATGCCTCAAGACCCAAGTTTGCTTTTGCTGCAGTGTGGGGGTTGGTCTCATTCCTCCCCAGGACTGAGACCCACTTCAGCTGAATGAAGGTGGGGTGCATTTTAAGTAAAGGGCTTATTTGTTTCAGTTACTTTTCTGCAAAATTTTCTTAAAAGCAACAGGTCTTAGGAGCACACAAAGCAACAGTACTAAAGCCTCACCCATAGGCTTTTCCCTGGAAAAGCTCTAACCTAAAGATAAAGCAAATCGACAAACTGAAGGTACCTTTTTTTATTACTCCGTGGGGGAAATGTACAGAGCTCTATGTATACATATATTCACACCCACCAAATTGTTGCTGCAGTGGGGGGTGTTTTCATACAAACAAATTTTGAGAGAAAAGTCAAAGGTGCTTCAGCCTTGTACTGTGTATATATATTAAAAAACAAAGTTTTGTATGTTTTTATTACTTTAATTATTGTTATAAAAAGCCTGCCATTTTTAATGTGGTTTGGGGGGATTTTTGTTTGTTTGTTTTCCTGTTTGGGAGTTTTGTTTGTTTTTTTGTTTTTTGTTTTTCTGGGCAAAAATAAAACTTGCTTTTAGTGTCTGTACTGCTGCTGGTCAGGACATTAAATATTGAAGTGTTTTTAAAAATTAAAGAAGAAGAAAGTAAAAGAGCTTACCACTGGCGCCTATGCGATCACTTCATTTTTGAGTTGCACCAGAAAACGATGTAGAAAGCCATGCATTACTTCTTACCTCCTCCTCTGCCCCCTCCCCCCAGCTCTGGACAGCAAATCGCAGTTATACCCAGTTGCAATTAGTGAGGAGGGGCTAGTCTACGGTAAACGAAACAGATACTGGGTGCACCTACGCGTGCACACACAGACGTGGGGCTTTTGTAAAAGAACTTTTCAGGAAGTGAGCAGTTTCTGTAATAGAATTCTAAGGTGTCTTACAGCAGTCTGAGAACAGGTGCAAAGTAGAAACTTTAGAGGCTTTATTTAGATGCAAAGCTTTGTAAAAGCCTACAAGTAGGATAAGCAATGTCTGAGCTGAACTTCTCCTCCTTTTGAACTGACTGTGACAAGCACAGGAGCAGCTAGAACTGGGATAATCAGATCCATGCAAAGCAATGGGGAAAATTTTCCTTCTTGTCCCAGTTACTGTTCATTCAGGCAGGATTTAACCTAGATCAAGAAAGTATCTCTTGCCTGAATGGGCTTCGACAGAGAGGCCGAAGCAGCCAGTGGTTGGTCTGCCCGGGGAGAGGGGAGGGGGAGGAGGCCTGAGTGTGAACACGCCTCCCCTTCACCCAGGGGAAGGGCTGGCTGACCTTCACGAAGGCTACTCACTGTGATCAGTGGCCACACCCTCAGCCTTTAGCTGCGCAGAACAGCTTGCTGGCAGATGGCATTGTGTCGCTTTATCTGTTCCCACACAGTTTGCTTTGTATGTCTGCCAAGAATCTTCCAGTTATTAGCAAACTCAGACAAAAAGTGCCGCCAGTATTATCAGCAGTCAACAAGCGCCTTCCTCTCCACAGAAACGACTTGAGGAGAACTAAGGGCTGTTCTGTGGGCCTCCTCCCCTGCAAAGACATTGAGAGATCAACATGTTCCACAGGTGGGACAGGTGTTTAGAGGGAGATCTATTGCCAACAATAAAGGCAGAATATCACTGAATTTCTCTATTTAAAATCTACTTGCTGTTTCTGGTCTGAAAGCTTAAGAGCTACATCTTAGCATTTCACTCTCAGTCCTCCTCCATCACAGACAATGTCTGAGTACTTTTGCTGATCAGCTTTGGTAATAGCCTTGGCTAACGTGGAAAAAGCAGACAACAACTTGATGGGAGAGAAAAGCACAGCCCCATCCCTTCACCAGCCTGGGGAGCTCCCTCGGTTGGGTCTGCTTAATTGTTTGGGGAAGAGGTCACAGCGTGCGGGATAAGGGAACGCACCACTCCAGGGGCGGAGGCTGTGTCACTGGGCTACTAGTAACTGCTTTTCCTCCTCCCCATTGAAAACACCATGTCTACCCTGCACTTGAGCTTCTGTTGCTCTGCCGCACCCAACTCCCACCTGTCTCTGGAGATCTTAGACTATTCTTGGGCTCAATAAGACAATCAGAATATAAATATAAACCACAAAAGGCAGTATGAATAAGAAAAAGGTAAGAGTCTTGAAAACAAGTGCACCACAAAGACATAGTACCCAATAGTGGGTTTCCATCCAATTAGTTTTATAATCTGAAAATACTTTTTCATCTCATCTAAGTTCCTTTTCAGTTTAGGTTTAAAAATGGACAAATACGCACTATCTGAAGCTTTTGTTCCACTATTTCACGTTGCATTTAAAAGATAAAAGTTCAGAAGTACACCAAATTTGCTCTAGAATTGATTGTGCAACCTCTGTGTCAGTATTTTCGTGAAGACCTCGGTCCTTCACTGCCTCATGTGCTTCCCACAGCACTTGGAGGAGACAGCTGCCATCTGTCCTCTAAAGGGGATTTCACTCAACTTGTGAGGGATACCTTACAAAGCGGAATCACATGGCTCCACATTTAATCAGATACTCAGCAACAAACCAGAGCTTTCCCCAAAACTTGGTACTGCATACCTGGTCATGGAATCAGCCAAACTGATGTGAAGAAAATAACACGATTTAATCCATTGTTTTAAGTGACCAAGGTAGGCTTTCTGACAGTTTAGTCTATGTATTCTAAAGGAACTAACTCACTAAATTGGCATTAACATTCTACTAGATTATATACCCTTACAGAAATTCAAAGACTATTCAAAGGAGCCCATACTTCAGAATTATAACAGGAAATCTTAAGTTTGTACACAGAATGGGTTTTTCTCAATGCTGCCAAATCTCAAAAACTAAGATACTCCCTTTCCCTGAGTTACGTGTCTTTCTAAAGTGTAGAAAATTCCAAGGATCCACCACAAGATGGAGATGGTCAGCACAAGCCGATTCTGTTACTCTCTTAAATAAGTGTATATTAGCCATTTAGCAGCGATCCCTATACTCTTCCAAGTAACCAAGCTATTGACTTTCTTACTACTTGCAGTAGCCTGTCCCCCACTTTTTGATCCAGCACTTAACTTAAACTCCTTAACTCTGCCTTGACCTGAGGAAGACCATGCTAATTGGTTGTGTTACTTTGTTATGTACCCTGTGCTCAATTGCTAGAACAGTGAACCAGTACATGGGAGGGAGGAGGAACGGTGCCTCGGTCACTCTGGGGGCAGTTTAGATGCTGTGAAATTAAACCTGTTCTAAGTGTACTTGTTTGAATTAATTGTATTGTAATATTATTTGTTGAATGTAGTAATTAGGTATTTATGAATATATTGCTGTAATTTCTGACAACATCCAAAAAAATAAAATCTTCCTAAATCATGTTAAGAGGAAAATTTTTTTTTATGTTCTAATCATACAAGGCCAATTAAAGAAAAAGCTCAACTATATAGCTTTATAGGCAAAATGTGAAGACAGATTCAACTATAAGTCAGTCAGATTTTAAGAACAAGATCAGAGATACATAGGACTCCTGACCCTCCACAATCATGTGGTTTCATTGTAGAAGATTCCCCAGGTTAAATCTGAATGGTGCTGAGTTAAGAGGGAGAACAGGCAAGTCCTGCCATCAGAAAGCGACCCAACCCTCTATAAACAGTCACCTTAAATGATAGCAACAAGGTCTTCTGTGTCCTAATCCCTTCATGCCTGGCTCTTCAGTATCCAAATAACCATCAGCTGCTTGTTGAAGGGACACCTAGATGGGTAGGTAGCAACGGGAATGGAGAAACCGCTCAACTAACATGAAGTAAATGGACTATAAACACTGAAGGGCATACACCAGCAGGTATTCTCCAGGCTCAGTTGATCATGCATGTATACTCTTCAAAAAGCCCTCGAGATAGCATGCTACTTCTCTTGACCAGCAATGCTACTACAGTTGAAAACCAGCAGGCTGCAGAGCCTTCCACTCACTATATCACTCTAGACCAGCAATTTTCAACCCATGCACTCCAAGAATTTTTAAAACATCCAATACCTGACCATTTGGTTGGGATTATTGCTTTTCCCTTAGATTGGCAAAAAAAAATTACAATAGCCATCCGATGTGAATAAAAAAATACTCATGTTTTTGTCAGATTGGCAAAAATATATATTTTTTGGTGTGCTACAGAATTTTAGTAATTTTTATGTGCCACGAGATGAAAAAGATTAGAAATCACTGCTCTAGTCTTTTCCCCTCTCAAGGTAATATAATTTCTATAAGGATTTTAGCAATTGTAAAATGCTACAACTGAAATTTTTTCCTTAGGGAAAAGAATTTACCCTTTTTTGAGCCTCTGTCTGCTACCTACGACGAGTCTTTTCCCTGAAATCCTATCAACAGCAGTGTTACTGGTCCAACTTTTACTAGCATTGTCTTCAGTTTCTCTCACTCACTTAGTAATGCGGAATTAGTTTTTCCCTGCTTTCCCCTTCCCGTGATAAGCAATCCTTCAAACCTTAACCAGAAGTAGCCATGAGAACAAGAGACAGCCAGAATATCTGACGTTTACAATTGCCTGCTACACACCTCAATTTGGTCTGTTAGATCACTTTAGCCACATGGCTTGCTCCTTCTGCTTGGTAGTTATGCAGGGGGGAAAAAAAGTACCAACAGAGGTTGGGGTGATTCCATCTTTATTGTGTATTCGGACTTAGATGATCACCACCACCTGGCATCACAAGCCACTCACCTGCCATCCTCTGTGTGAGCAACCTCTAGACCCTAAGTTTAGCCCATGTGATCTATATTAAGAGAGGGGGGAAGAAAAAGTCCCAGGGCCACATCACCACCTGAATACTGGCCTACTCAAGGCAACACCTAACATCACCGAACACTGCCCCACACAACGGTCCCGTGCAGCAGACCTGAGACTGCTAGGGAGCACAGCTTGTTCGCCGAAGCTTTTCCCCCCACCATAAAAACAACTGGCTTCTACAGACAGATGTGGAATTGAAGACTATGTCAAGGACTAAGCACAACCTGTTGCTTTCCAACAAGGTTATGAATCCAGTCCTTGCTTCATTACTTATTTTTCTTACATTGGAAACGGTTCTAGAAATCCAGAACTGTGAGTACTTCGATCATGTCCGGAGCACTCACACACCGCCCAGCAAGCCTCCTGCCGGCAGATACAAGGCCTTTGTAAACAAAAGGTCATTCTCTAGAAGTCCTGAGACTGGGTACTTTCAGAAGGTTGCAGGTTTGTGCGGAGTTTGTACATGTGATTGAGCGCCTGTGTGAGGAAAGCCCCGCTGGTGTTGATCTCCATCAAGGTCAAGTTATCCAGCTAAAACACAAAGAGAAAACAGACTGAGTTGGTTGAGGAGTTTCTGATCTTGAGAAAAAGATAAAATCTACTGAACAAAAATAAGAAATGAAGAATAATGTTGACAAGCACAGCCAGTAACTCCTGCCTGTGACCGCCTCAGCAGGCGGTGGGCGCCCCAGGAAGCCCCTCAGCAGCGCCGGCCTCCTGCACCCACGCGGGGCAGCTGCCAGAGCGAAGGCCAGCAGCACACCCACCTTGGCATGCGCCTCCTGCTGCCTCACGAAGCTGTCAGCGGACACCCGGAGCTTGGCTATGCGAGTGTCCCACACATCTTTGATCAGGGTGCGGATCTCGTCGGCTTTGGGGATGTTGTCTGAAGCACTATAGGAAGCAGAGGTGAAATAAACTGCATAAGGGAGCACTCAGTAAACTGAAGCAGTAGCCAGCTAGAAGTGGCTTAAAAAAAAAAAAAATTGCTGGGATTCAGGCAAAGTACATGAGCTGTTCTAGACTCAAAATTTGCTTTGTTTCATTTGCAGTTTTAAAATATAAAGATGTCTAGCAGTTAAGCTTGCTGCCAAGAAAATGCAGCCATGATCCACACAGATATTTGTGGTCATGTTACCTGTCCCCTGGCAGCAGCGGCACAAGGACTTCTGTTTTCTAAAATAATTAGGTATCAGAGAATAAGCTCTAGGTTGGACATCCTGTGCCTCAGGATACGTGAGTATTCTGTGCTACAGAACTTCCATCTACAATGAATTTGTTCCAAGGCTGGCTCAGAGGTCAGGAGCTCTGTGGCTCGCACCCCATCGGCTATCCAAGGGCTTCCAACCCACCAAGGAAAGAAGACAATGGCTCTGTGCCAGGCACTGTGCTCAGCACTACACAGCATTTCTGTCCTCACAAAAGCCCTGAAGGGTAGACATTGACCTATCTACAGAAAAAACAAAAATATGCTTACAAAAATCACAGAAGAAATTGCAAATTAGCATAATCTGAGCACACCTACACACACTAAATTCTGGGTGAAAGTTTGAACTGGAGTCAGCAAGCAATGCTCATAGTCTCCCTGTGTGAGGTTTTTTTTTTTTAACTAATCTTTGAAGGAAGAGACAAACTAGAAGATAAAAGCAAAAGCCAGCACCATTTGACACCAGGCATTCCAGGAGAAGCTGGAAACAGTCTCTCCACAGGCTAGTTAGCTCACCATTAGTAGACGGGGAATTAGTGGTATAAAATTTAAGTAGTGGATTTTACTTAAAGCCCAAACATTTGGATCCTTTGCTCAGAACAGCAGGTTAAAGAACAAAGGACCCCAGCTCCTTATTAACTGAACTGCAGAACAAAGGTACAATTAGGTCCTTTAGCCAAATGAAGTCTAAAAAATTCCAAGACAAGGGTTTCAATAGGAACCGCACACATAATATACTGAACTTCAAAAACAAAACATGAACAGGCCCCTCACCTGTGCTTCCAGATTCTCCCCAAGTCACCCTCTCCACTGCCACAGCGGGTTTTCTCAGGCCCACAGGCAGCACGCTCCCTGAACACCTCCTGGGCCCGCCGCCAGCAGACGAAAGCCTCAGCTCTCCCACTTCCACGGAGTCTACACATGCCCCAGCAGCTCTGCTTCCCAAACCTAGCATGTCCTTTCACACTTCTGCCTTCTCCCCCAGTAAAGTTACCATCCTAAGATCTTCCAGCCTAAAATCCCTTCTCTGGCACCACCAGGCATTCTGGTTGCATCCCAGCACACTCTGAGCAGCATGTATCACACTGCAGGGTAACCACTGGGTAACAGGGTCCCATCTCTCCCTGACCAAACCAGGAACTCCAGCCTATTATAACTATGCAGTGAAACACTTAGTGATCTGTGAACTGCAGCCTCATATCAACCGAAGGACAAGGATGATATGTACCTCAATTTTCCATTGGTATCCAGAAATGCCATTTAGTGGGCCCCTGGCCCTTGCTCTACAGCAGGCAATAGAAAGCTCCCCAAGTTTTGTTCTGGTCTTGAATCCATCAACTAAAAGGTATCAAAAGCTTGACATTTTGCTTATTACACATTAAGAATGTCCCATGCAAAATTATCAACACTTTCTTATCCCCTCCACTGATTTCTTCATTCATTCATTCATTCAACACACACAAGCACCAAGCACTGTGATAGTACACACAGGACAGCCCCTGCCCATTAGAACTAGAGGTGGGGTAAGAGTAAAGCTGCGTTAGTGATTAGAAAATTATAACTGACAAATGCTATGGAGGTGTACAGAGATGCCAAGAGAACAGGTAAGACAGGAAGGGAGTACCTGTTATGCTAAACCAAAGGAGGGAGCAGGGAACAGGCAGACTTACTGGCAGAGGGTACAGTACATGCAATGCCCTGAGGACCTTGGTATATACAAGGAAGTAAAAGAAGCCAATGTGAACCTAAAAGTTAAGAGAATCAGAGGGAAGAACTGTAAGAGAGTTACGAGAGAAGGAAGAAAGAAACCAGCCTACGCAGTGCTTTGAATACCAAGATCAGGACTTTAGATTAACTGTAGAAAGGCTCTGAGGAGTAGGGGAGTCACATAAAGATAAAGCAGCTTTATCTTTAAAGGACCACTCTGGCTGCAACGTGGAGAGTGAATTAGAAGCTGATGGGGAGCCAAAACTGGATGCAGGGAAATGATTTACTACAGCACAAAGGCAAACGTGAGTCTTCTGGCCTTTCATGTGACAAGCATGCAAGGACTCAAATGCACATACCTAAAGAATAAAAAGGGGTAAAGCTTTATTAATAAAACATATTTATAGTTAAGCAAAAGGCTACTGCTGGAAATAATTAGGAGGTGGAATGAAAAGAACCCAGGGATTTACTGGGAGAAAAGGAAAAATGAGAACGGGAGAGAGAATCCGGGCAAGTGTGCATGTGCACACAGATGACTCCCAGATGAACTGATCTGGGGAACCGGGCGGCCAGGGATGCCGCTCAGCTCGGCAGGGAGCGGAACAAGAAAGGGAGGGCAGGGGTTAAGGGCTGAGAACCGTGAGTTCAGGCTCGCATGTGGGCTCTAAGAAATGAGGTTACTTACTGATTTAGCAGGAGTTTGGTCAGTTCCATGTAGTAAGGGCTAGGCATAGGGGTAAAAGTTTCTTCCGTTCGTTCATGATCCCTAATCTTCTCCAGCTTTTCTGAAATTTAGACATGAATACATTTTACCATCACCATAGCCAAAATATTTTCTTAAACCTCCCAAAATTTACCAGGTGCCTGTATTACCTGTTCGTTCAACTAACAAATACATTAAAAACAGTTTTTGGAATATCATTTGTTTTACTAAATAGATGATACAAGGCGTAGTTCTTCAAAAACTCTCTCCAAGAAAGTCTAAATTACTGTTATTGTTGCTCTGGCCTGCAGAATATATTAATAAAAAGAATGTCCGTCAAAAGTTCTTTTCTTAGTGAAAAAGCAAAGAATTCTACTTTCGATGCAAGAAGTGATGAAAGTAACCAGGGACAGGAGAAATTAATTCACACTAAGCCTTTTTCAGAAGAGCAAGTCAACTTAGAACTACAGCCACTCAGTGTGGGGTGAGACGCTAACAACGGGGGTGAAAGCCCAGCATCTGGAATCAACCGAGTCCAAACCCATCCAGCAGTTGCGCTTCCCTCCACATGCCACAACTGCTGCACCCTTCTCTCCCTGACTTACCGGCCTGAGACAACCTCCAGCCCTAAATCTGGACTCCCTCTGCGGCTAAGAGACACACACAGACACAACCATGCCGTAGGGTCTCACGTTAGAGGATTGGCCACCTGCCTCCAGGGGGCCCTTGGTACTATCCTGCAATCCTACGAAACTTCCCTCGTCCGTTCACCCTCTCGCTTTGGCTGTGCCCGCCCTCTCCAAGCCTTCTCTCCTCATCTCACTGCCCCGGCTCTCGGCCACTGCCTTGCCGCGTGCCCGCACACTCCCGCCACGTCTTCCTACCCTCCCTGCACCGGTCCCCAGGCACAAGGGCCAGCCTTCCGGGTATGCGCTGGGCCCTCCCCTCTCACCTGCACGGAACACCACTCCAGCAACTGTGTCTCACTCTTGAATGATCGTTATTACTCCTCACTATATGGTCATTCCTTCAAACACGCGGCAACATCTATCTTGTAAAGAAAACCCTCCCTTGACACCAAATCTTTCTCCAGCTACCAATCCATTTCTCATGACCTTTACAACAAAACTCCAAGAGTTTTCAGATATTGGCCTTAACTTCCCCTCCTCAGCCACTCAGGGGGGTGTCTGTCCCACCCCTCCGGCAGCACAGCTCACCAAGGCCCACCGCCTCCACGAGGCCAATCCTAATGGCTGTGTCTCAGCCCCCACATCTGACAAGGGCCAGTCCTCTTCCCTGGAGGGTACTTACCATTTCGCTTCTGCAAAACTAGAGTTCTCTTCTCACCAATTCCTTCTGGCCTTCCTGACCTCTCAATGCTGCGTTGCAGGGCTCAATTCCCTCACCCTGTCCACCCCCTAAACCCAAATTCCTGCCTTATCTAACTACCATCTATGTGCTCATGATGATGTCCAAATTTACATCCTCAGATGAGCCCCCCCATTGAACTCCTCACTCAGTCACCCCACTGCCCACTTTACTTCCATGTGGATTTCCATCTGGCACCTCCAGTGTCACGTGTTCAAACCCCCACTCCTGGTGTCCACTTTAGCCCACAGGTGCTCCTGCAGTCTTCCCCGTCTCAGAAAACTGCGGCTCCACTCCTTCTGGAGCTCAGGCCGACAGCCCCACCACCAGTCCTTAATTAACTCGCTCTCATACCCCGCTGCCAGGCCTTCCGCAAATCCTGCTGATTCTTCCTTAAAACGTGCCTAAATGCCAGCCACCACGGCCCACCTCAATCAGCTGCTGGAGCTACTCTCAGCTCTTGCCTGGGTAATGTTGTACTGCTCTCTCCGCGCACACATCTTCTCTACACAGCAGACTCTTTTCTTTCTTTCTTTCCTTTCTCTTTTTTCCCTTTTTTTAGAGAAAGGAGAAGTGAGAAAGAGAGGGAGAGAAACATCAACAAGCTGTCTTCTGGACTCACCCTGACCAGGGACCAAACCAGCAATCTAGGCATGTGTCCTGACCAGGGATTGAACAAATGACCTTTCGTCTTGCGGATGATGCCCAACTAAGCCACACCAATCAGGGCTCACTCTTTTTTTTTTTTTTCTTTAATCTAAATCAGGGTATGAAACACCTCTGTTCAAACCCTGAGACTAATCAAAAAGAGAAAATACCCAGTGTTGTCCAGGATGTGGAACACTGGAAAATCTTGGAAATTTCTGGTGGGAATGGCTCAAGCACTCTGGTGGACTGGTTGGCAGTTTCTTACAAAGTTAATCACAGTCTGCCCTATTGCCCTGCAATTCCACCTCTCTAGGTATTTATTTGCCCAAAAGAGATAAAAACATATCCACAAAAATACATGGACAAGACTGTTTGTTCGTAGCAGCCATATTCACAATAGCCAAAAGTGGGAAATAACCCAAATATCCACCAGCATAAAAATGGGTGAACAAATCGCGGCATACTCACACGCAGGAACGCTATTCAGCAATAAAAGACTGTAATGACATGCAACAACGGGGCTGGATCTCAAAAACATTATATTGACTAAGTTGTCAAAACCAAAACTGACATACTAGATGATTCCATTTATCTGAAAGTCCAAGAACAGGTAGAACCAATGTGGTGGCAGAATCAGAGAGCAGTTGGTTCTTGGACAGGGTCTACTGACGGACTAGTGATGTTCTACTACCTCACTAAAATATGACCCAGGACTATGAAGAAGCTTGGGCTGGGGTTTAAAGGAGCCAAATCTGCCAGGGTTGATCTTAAATGAGAAGGCTTGAGGGGATGCAGCCCTAATAGAGCCAGGCCTGGCAGGACTAAAAAAGCCCTTCAAAGCAGAAGGAACTGGAATTCCCCATTACATTTCAGGACCACCAGGGCTACTCACCCCTTTAGGAGAGGGAATAAGGAAGAAATGCCCAAGCAGTCTTTCTTTACCTTTTTTTTCCACATCCTTTTTAATTGTTGTTGTTTTTAGAGAAAGAAAAAGGGAGAGAGAGAAAGAAGCATCAATTTGTTCCACTTGTTTCTGCATTTGCTGGTTGATTCTTGCATGTGCTCTGACTGGGGATCAAACTCACAACCTTGGCATATCAGGACGATGCTCTCACCAACTGACCTACCTGGCCAGGGCTCCAAGCAGTCTTTCTTTCTTTTTATTTAAGAGTTCATTGGTTTATTTGTTTGTTTGTTTGTTTGTTTGTTTGTTTGTTTGTTTTAGAGAGAGGGGAAGATAGGGAGAAAGAGGGAGAGAAATGTGGATCAATTGCCTCTCACCCACCCCAACTGGGGACCTAACCTGCAACCCAGCCATGTGCCCTGACCGGGAATTGAACCAGGGACCTTTCACTCTGCAGGACAATGCCCACCCAACAGAGCCATGCCCGTCAGGGCCCAAGCAGTCTTTCTTAAGCTGCACTTGAGAGCACTGGGCTGAAAGTGTCCATGCTTCTAGGAGGCAGGTATCCCGAAGTGATTCCCAGTGGGGAGGGGGCAATCAAAATCACTCAGGACTTTCCAAATTCTAGGAACACATGCATGTCTATTACCACCATCCCCCTCCCCAGTAAATTTAAGATTCTTTGTTATGGTGAGCCAGGCACATCTCTGAGATGGAGAAAAGATTGCAAAAGATAAAGTCAGGGTAAAGTCTGTCTGCCTCTTCAATGCATTCTTTTTTGTTTTTTCTAACAGCTTTATTGAGGCATAATTAACATACCATACAATTTACTCATTTAAAGTATACAATTCAATGATTTTTACTATATTCACAGAGTTGGGCACATTTTCATTTCATTACCCCAAAAAGGACCCCCCACAATCCCTCCATCACCCCCAAACTTCCCTCCCTAGGCAAGTACTATTTACTCTGTCTCCATGGATTTGCCTGTTCTGTACAGTTCCTATAAATGGAATGACACAATATATGGTCTTTGTGTGTTTTTTTCAGTTAACGTAAAGTTTTCAAGGTTCATCCCCATTGTAGCATTCCTTTAAAAGGCTGAATAATATTCCCTTGTATGGATGATGCATTATTTTCACGCGTGCTCTATAAGGTAAGACAAAGACTCTGCTCCTCAACATGTCAGTCTATATAATTGTATTTCTAAATGAAAGCAAATGCTTCTTTAAAGTCTTATAATAGTTTTCATTTTAAAGCAAAGTGAAATAGCTTTAAAAGCAAAATCTGAACTAAAATTGATATACACCCCCCACCCTGACAGGACAGTGGCAATAGTAGTCAGCTGACTCTAATGAGTGAATCTGGACCGTTAATTTCAGCGGATCAGTGGATCGTCCTTACCCACATCCATCCACTCCGGAGGAAGCAACCGACACTTCTGCCTTTGTTTCAGGTTAATCGCCAGCCACAGAGGCACTTGCACCGGTAAGCCAGGGTTAAAGGGCCCCAGATCTCCCTGCCAGAAGGGGAAAAATAAATAACACGGTAAGACAAGACAGAGCTAAAGGACCTCGCAGCCGTCAAATAACAGAACTGACACCGGGTAAACAGCAGTCCAAATACAAATACAACCCCTGGCGGTCACGAAGGCACGGGCGACAGCCCACGTCTGCCTTCGCGCGGTGGAGCTGGCCGCATCTGGCAGCCCACCTAAGCCCGGGTTCTTGAGGCGCTGCAGGGAGGCCGCCCGAAAACGCCTGGGAAGCGCAGTCGACCTCCAGGAGTTCCCCCCGCCCACGTCGCCCGGCACCGAACCTCGTCCCGACCCGGTCCACGCAGGCCCCCGCGGGATGGGCACGCCGAGTCCGCCCCCTGGCTTCCCATCCCAGACGAAGGGAGGGAGCAGGGTGAGTCGGCGGCCGCAGAAGCCCTGGCAGCCTGGCCTCTCCCAGACGTCAGTTCCACCCTGAGGCAAATGCCAGGCCTGCGCCTCACCCCAATGAGGTAGATCTTGTCCAGACTGAAGTTCGGGATAATGGTCACCAGCTCCTTCTCGGCCAGAAACTCCACTTCGGCCGCGTCCATGAGGGCGCAAGCAGCCGGCCCAGGACTCGTCGCGGCCGCCGGTCCTCCTACCGCTTTCCCGCCACCGCTCGGAATCCGCCCCCCATACGGAAAAACCTCGGCCGGCCAATAGCAACGCGGCGCTCTACGCGCGGCGGCCCGGAGGCGGGGAGCGCGGCTCCTATGAGCCCGAGGATTGGCGAGCTTCAAAGCAACGGAGAGCTGATCCCGCCCACTCACGTCAAGGCTCCGGCTCCGCCCCCTCGTGGACAGGCCCCGGCTCCGCCTCCTCGCCCAGGCCGGCCACGCCCTCTCCCGTATCGGACCTACTGCCACCTGGTGCTGCCTTGCCTTTCCGCAACTGGCGCCAGGCTTCCGTGACCTTTCACCTGCCCTGGGCGCCTACTGGCCAGCACCTCTTATTCCTGGGGCCAGGAGTAAATGCATGTATTGGGTCACAGTATTACCTGATACAGCCCGAACCCATGAGAAGGAAGGAAGGAAGGCGTTGTGTCCTTTCATTTCACTATCTTCTGCCCCCTGTATACACATTGCTTAAAAATCTATAAAAATGTGTAGATTCCGGCACCCCAACCATATCTTCCGAATCAGAAATTGTTGGGGAAAGGCTCAGAATCTACATTGGCAAGCACCCCCTGTGAGGCTTATGAAGGGGCAAGTCTGCAGACTTCAGCAATTATGCGATGATGTGCTCATTTGTTCCCTGAACAGGTACCCGCTGTACAGGAGGCTTGTGTGAAACCTATTAGCAGTGGTCCTCAGTCTCCCCGCTGTGTCAGAATCCCCTAGAAGATTCTGAGTGAATATGCACACTCCTGGGAAATTGTTTCAGGCGTCTGGGATGGGAACAGAAAGTTGAATTTTAACCAGGGCCAGGGGGATTCTGAGGGGATGCTAATAGGCCAGGAATGCTTCCAGGGAGGTAAGGCAGCCAGTGCAGGATTTGGGGGAACAGGCAGTAGGCTGGGCTTGAATTTGAAACCCTGTTCATTAGGCTCTGAGAAAAGCACAAGAGCCAGGAGCATTGCAGGGTTCTGTATCCCGGCAGGAAAGCTACCCCACCCCCAGATATCCCGATGCTTCACCCTCTAAGCCCCCTGAACCTGTTCCACTTAGGGTTGTTAGGAAGATGAAACGAAACTATTGTTAAGTATTGCCCACTCACATGGCATGGAAAGCTACATCTGTTGTTTATCGGCATGGGAAATTGTCATTTGCAGACCTGGGGATTACCTTCATTGTGTGTCATTTATTAAGACAAATACTTTCAAAGAAAATAAATGAACGTCCTCTGGATGCTGCGTGACCCAGGGCTAGGGATCACTCTGAACTTCAGTTTCCTCATCTGCAGGAGAGGTAGGAAGAGAAGGAGCCTGGAGTGTTTCTGGGGGAGGGGAAGCTTTGGGCCACCTGGCCCCTCCTGAAATAGAAGCTCCCTCAGGCATCTGCAGAGAGTGCGTGCCAACTTGTCTGCGTTTTGATTGATGGGAGACTGTTTTCTTTACTGGCAAATATTTGTGTTCCCATGTTGGCAAGGCTTCCCTGCCTGCTTTTTGCAGCCTGTAAAAGAGCAAAGGAAAAGAGCCGGTGGGCACACCGAGGTTCAGAGAGGCCACTGCAGGGCGAGCAGGAGAGCAAGCAGAGTCTTATGTCCACATCACCTGAGTCCTGTGTCCTCATCTGTAAAACGGGGACAGTAGAATGCTGCTGCTGGCTTCCCTGGGATTTTGTGAGAACAGGGAATAATGTGCAGCTTCACGCGCTCCAAAATGAAGGTGTCTCAGAGTCTGAAACTTGAGTGTACATCAGGGTCACTTGGAGGACTTGTTAAATGACTTCCCCTTCATAGCAACACGATTTACAATATCTGAAATGTGGAAATGACCCAAATGTCCATCACTGAGGGATGGATTAAAAAAAAATGTGGTCTATACATACTATGGAATATTATTCAGCCATTAACAGGAATGAAGCACCGATACCTGCTACAATGGGGGTGAACATTGAAAACATTATGGTAATTGAAAGCCAGCCACACCAACCATGTATGATTCCATTTATATGAGCCATCCAGAATAGGTAAATCTGCAGGGACAGAAAGGAGAGATTAGAGGTTTTCAGGGCTGGGGGAGAGAGAAATGGGGAGTGACTGTTAATGGGTATGGGGTTTCTTTTGGGGGTGAGTAGCGGAAATGTTCTGAAATGAGATAGTGGTGGTCATTACACTCTGTAAATATTCTAAAAATCACTGAATTGTACACTTTAAAAGGGTGACTTATTCCTCAATAAAGCTGTTATTTAAAATGCCCTTCTCTAAGCTCTAGGCTCAGACTTTTGGATTCAGAAACCTCACTTAACACGCTCACCAGGAGGTTTTCGTAGTGGGGAAAACAGGAGGAAAACGATTTGCCCCAATCCGGTCCAGCTCCAAGCCATTCCCAGGATCCAGAGAAAATTTCAAAATGCTCAGCCTCATGCCTGGCCTCTCAGAGTTGGGGGGTGGGCGGAGAAAACAGGCAAGAGGAAAGCTGGAGGGAGGAGGGGAGTAATAGAGGTGGGGTGCTGGGCAGGCCCTTACACCGTTATTTCCTGTTGTAAGAAACGCCTGCTCCAGAAGGCTAGAACACCCCATGTGTAGTAAATTAAGAGCTGGAGCTAAAATAAATGAGGGTGAAGGGATAAATCCCTGCATGCCAGAGAATTCCAAAGGACATATATAGATGCCTAGCCTTCAGGAAGGTAGAGCATGACACCCTTCTCCTGAAGTGTGGGCTACCCAGAGCGACTTCCTTCTGAAAAGAACAGGAGGAAAACAGAGAAAAACAGAGTAACTTGACAGTGGAGAAACCTGACTGATACAACCTTAGCCAGGGGGACGAGGTGAACACCAGCAGTGATCAGCCGAAGTGGCAGCATGCACCCTTATATCACGGACGAGACAGGTACTTCACTTCCCAAACCTACAACTCCCATCTAATTTATGAGAAAAACATCAGAAACATTCCAACAGAGGGACGTTCCACAAAACACCTGGCCAGCATTCCTCAAAAACGATCAAGGTCATCAAAAACAAGGATAGTCACGGCCCAGGGGAGCCTAAGAATTCATAACTACTCAATGTCATGTGGGATGCTGGATGGGCTCCCAGCCAAAAAAAAAAAAAAAGACATTAGGGGAAAACTGAGGAAATGTGAATAAAGTATAGACTTTAATGAATAATAATGCATCAGAATTAGTGCCCTAATTGTGACAAATGTACCAGAGTAACAGAAGATTAAAGATAAGGGAAATTGGGTGGGCTGTATATGGGAACCCTCTGTACCATTTTTGCAACTTTTTTGTAACTCTAAAGCTGTCCTTACCAAGAAAAAGTGTATTTAAAAAAGTCTCCCTGGGCTCCCCAGGGACACCGAAAACACCCCTGAAGCTGTCAACCTATGGCAGTACAATCGCTTTTGGTCACATAGAATTTAGGCCAGCAGAACAGTGCTCCAAAATGAGCCGGCAACGTGGACTTCCGAATTGAAGGCAGTGGACCTTCCTGCAGAGGTGGAAATGTTCCGTATACTTCCAGCCGGTACAGTGGCCACACATGGAAATTGAGCATTTGCAGTATGAGTGACTGACAGGGGCTGGGCTCCTCTGAATGATCATTTACTCCTGGGTCTGACGTTGGGCCCGCAGCCCACCGATGCATCCCCGCAGGTGACCTTGGGTTGAGCACGTTTGGGAAGGACCTGTGGTCTGCCTGTGCATAGCGTGTCCATTCCAGCCTAGATTAGTTTGAATCTCTGCTATGTGGGAGTGACTTTCTTATAGTGAGGAGAGCAGTGGCCTAGGAAAACGATGAATTTCAGTGATGAATTGAGGAGGTGGGTGCGAAGCCCCACAGACTCTCAGCGCTGCCTGCAGGGCGACTCATCTCCCCAGTGCCGGCGCCACACCGGGGCCCAAGCAGTCAGCACCTCTGGCGTGCGGCTCAGGCCCGGGCCGAGGCTGAGGGCCACTGCTCTGACAAACTGAGCGTGGCCTCTCTCCTGGGGTCTCCGGGGAGAACTTAGCAAAAGCACTGACTCGCAGCTAGTGGTGTCTCTCATCTTAGAAGGGAGCTCAATTACGGTCATGGCAGCGCAGGAGAAACTCAGAGCGCAAACACCACACCTCCTCGCCTTGCCTCAGCTGAAACGTGCCAGCCGTGTGGCTCAGGGCAGGGCCCTGATAATAGGACAGGACTGCTTCCCTAACTAGATCACTCCTGCCCCAGCTAGGCTCTAGGAAGCTGAGAGCCACAGCTCCTACTGTGACTTGTGCCCCTGCCTGCAGCTCGTCTCTAATGTGGAGGTGATAATACGATCTCTTTCAGGACTGACCTTGGTGGCTCTGATTAGGTTGGGCTACCCTGCTGCCACTGTACCTGTTCTGAATATCATCTCCTAGAGCTGCTAAGGTTCTCAGCTGTGTCCAACATAGCAGACAGTGGCTGTCACTCAGCAGGAGCGGCTTCTTTTTCTCATGGCAGTCCCACGGGGCATTATCATCCCTGTTGAATGTGGCGCGATGTGACGCGGGAAAGACATGCAGTGGCCAGGTCTCCAGGGCCTGCTTTGTAAGCCACCTTTGAGAATGAGGACATGATCCCGAGGGCAAAGGGAGGCCATCTGAGAGATGCAGGTCAAGGAGTGACATGAATAGACTTGCAGTGCAGAAATACAACTCTGGTGGATGGCGGCGGGTGGCGGGGCCGGGGGGAGGTGGCGGGCGCAGTTCCACAGCGGGAGACTCACCTGGCGGCTGTGAGCAGAAGTCCAGATGAGCAGTGGCGATGGCCTGAACTAGGACAGCAGGCACGGGGACCACAAGGAGGGTCTGTCTGAAACCAGAGCCTGTGGGCTGCCTTCCTGCGTCCAGAAAAACCAAGTGCGGGGATGCTGCTGGACCCCACCCCTAGCCCAGGCAGCCACAAGTATTTCCCCATCTACCTGTGCCCCACGCAGCCTGGCAGCACGCCCTGCCCCACCCTGGAGGGGCTGCGGCTTCCTCCCTGCGGCTCACTGGCCCCTAGGGTTTGGCGGGGGAGCCATCACGCCCACCACACAGCGCACATCACGGCTGAGCCGGGCGCTCTCAAATGGCTCCGACATGGTGCGAACACACTCTTGTGTCTTTTTGCCATCTGCTGCTGTCATTAAAAAATTACATTTCCATCTGTTTTCACACTTTTGTCCCCTCCCAGCCTCCCCTCCTGGAAGCATATAGCATGAATCCCAAAGTCTCAGATCGGACGCTGCTGGCCTCCTGGACACTGGGCACTTCTCCGGGACATCGCAGGCTTAGGGGGCATGGGCTTTGTCAGCGGCCAGGGCTGTTAACGTCCGTCCATTTCCACTTTAGTTGCCATTTACTGCAGTCCCTGCTCCACTGCCCACCCCCCACTTTGGGGGGAGCTGTTTACAAAGCTTTTTTATTGTTAGTTTTAATCAGTATGTGCAGCTTTGGCATTAAAAATAAATGAAAAATAAACTGCAGACATTAGTAACCATTCCCCAGGATGTAGTTAAATGGAGGATCTGACTCAGGAAATAAGAATCAAAGAGCCATGTTTTGAGTTCAAAACAAAACATCATTCTAGACCAGCCCCACAGAGGCCTCCGCCCCCACCTCCACCTCCACAGCACCATGACCTTTGATGAAGGGTCAGGTCCACATAGAACCCAACAGCCCCACAGGCTGTGACGGCACCGGTGAGCCCGGTGGATCTTCTCAAGTGCAGCTTTGCAAACAACGGCGGCATAGCTGGCGACATTCTGGAGGCCCCTGTGGGGAAGCCACGTCCAGTGTCCTGTGCAGCCTCAGGCTGGCCCTCCCGCCTGGTCCTCTTCCTGTTGCCATGGGCACTAAAAGCCTGGATGAAGCGGTGATCAGCCTCTGCAGGTTGTTGAGTGGGCGGGCTGGAGGCCTCTGAGCACTGCCCGGGAGACGTGGAGCCCCCCCACCCAGCCTGTGAACGGAGCCAGGTGTCAGAGGGAGCACCCGGCCCCCGCCCCGAGGCCCAGCATCTCCCAGGGTTCCAGAGGGAACAGGATGGGGGCCACGAGTCGGAGCAGAAGCTGTGAGGGCACCTGCCTGGCCTGGCTTGTGTTCCACTCTTCTGCCATCGTCCATGAGAACATACTCTGGTAGCTGCTGGCCACAAAATGCAGAGACACGTGAAGCAGATTAGAACCCAGCTAGAGCCTGACAAAGCCCAGCTGCTGGCGGCCACTCAGCAGAGCCATGGCCAACCCAGAGACCAGCGGGTGAGAGATCAGGGCTTGGTGTTCTAAGCTCCTGACCGTGGGTGGGGCTGGAGACTGAGGCCACCACGTGGGTGGTCAGACATGTCGATGTGGCCAAGCCCTTGAAAACTCTGGACACCACGATCCGGGTGAGTGTCACTGGCTGGCAACACCTAGGGGGTGTGTGTCACCATTGCTGTCTGCGTGTGACCTTCCGGGATGCCCGCATGGGTCTGGTCTCTCCTGGACCCCACCCTTTGGGCTTCTTCCCTTTGCTGATTTTACTCTGCATCCTTTGCGTATAATAAACCATACTGTGACTACAGTGGTTTTGTTGGGGTTTTTTTTTAGTTCTGTAAGTCCTTCTAGCAAGTTTTGAACCTGAGTGTGTCCGTGGGGATCCTGGAACTGTACTTCCCTGTCCTCTACCCATGTGACCCAGGATCACCTCCCAGACAGACTTCTTGCTCCCAAAGCCTTGGCCCAGGTTCTGCTTCTGGGAGGACCTGACTATGACAGTGGATAACCACTGTCAGGATAACCAAAGTCAGGATAAGCCACACAGCCTCTGATAGAAGCCAAAGAAAACGAACAGAAACACATGTGCCATAATCAGAACAGTCTACGAGGAGAGGGGGACACCAACAGTTCAAAGTGCTTTAAAAAAAACACAAAACTGCCCTGGCTGGTGTGGCTCAGTGGATTGAGCACCAGCCTGCGAACTGAAAACATTGCCAGTTTGATTCCCGGTCAGGGCACATGCCTGGGTTGCAGGCCAGGTCCCTCGTTGGGATGCGTGCTAGAGGCAGCCCATCGATGATTCTCTTGCACATCAATGTTTCTCTCCCTTTCTTTCCCCCTCCCTTTTCCTCCCTCTAAAAAAGAAATAAATAAAATCTTTTAAAAATATATACAACCACTGCCTCCCATCCTAGAGATGTGTTATTACCAGGATCCCACAGCTGGCAGGGACTGGCAGGGACAGAGCTGGGACTCAAACAAGGTCTGTGTGGCTGATGATCTGGTGGCCGTGGCCACGTGCAGCCCATGCAGCGGTCTGCAGATCAAGAAGCCCGAGACCATCCAAAAGCTCATCACCAGCCAGACCCCCGTGAAAAGTGATTCTCCACCTCTTCCGCCCAGCCCAAGAGGCAGCGTTCACCACTCATTACAGAGGATCTTTATTTATAATGAAAAAAAAAAAATTATAAGTCACTTTTGGACTGTTTTGATACCTGTAAAACAATCTGTAAAAAATGGAGCCACTCCTTTACAAGAAGTTCTTGTGTGTGTTGATCTCCTGGGCGCCGACTGCATGGCCCAGGGTGCTTGGTGTGTGTTTGTCCAGGAGAAAGCCTCCCCCTGGCACCCCGATGGCCGTCACCACGGCCCTGGGGACAGCAAGAATATGTGGGCATTAGAGGTCCGGCCCACTCGGTAGGGCCAGGGAAACATCGTTCTGGAAGTGTGCAGGGCTGATTCCTTGCTCATCTTGCCACGCTTTTCTTGGTCAAGTGCCGAAATCACTCTCCCATCCAGCATACTCAGCACATCTGTCCCAGGCAGCTACACCCCCTTGGAGACACGTGGGGCGAGGGATAGCCAGAGCAGGAGCCGGTGCCAACAAATCCCTGAGCTGCGCCTCCTTCTCAGACTTCAGGGTCTATTTCTCCATCCTCTGGACATGACCCCATGTCTTCCAGCCAGGCTAGGAGACAAAGGGGATCAACATGTGGATGAATCCCCCACCCCATCTAGGCCCCCTTCCCCGGGGAGCTCCAGGGCCAGTGACTCTGGGCTCCTTGTTTTGTACCATCTTCCTGAGATCCCTCAATGGATGTTGAGAGGGGTCCCTGATGATGCTCGGTCCTACAGGATTCCTATGCACCCCTCATCCCACAGACAAAGCTGTGCTCCTGGGGTCCCTGGTTGAGGTTTCTGAAATTGTGCCCCACCTGGGCCCACCCCGGTTTCATCCTCTTAAAGCCCAGGGCTGGGCAGTTCTAGAGCAGGGAATCTCAGGCCCAGAGAGTGGAGGCGTGCTCCAAGTCAGCGGGTGGCTGGGCAGGGCCGGGGTTCTCTCCAATCCTGCCGAGGTTCCAGGCTAATCATCATTCAGAGCCCTCAGGCCGGGAGGAAGTGCCACCCAAGTCTGGAGGTCGTTCCTCCTGCCCTAAATACCACTGGCGAGAACATCCACAACGCACCGCAGAAATATGTCCCTGATCCTCCTCATCTTTAATCATATTCAACCCCTCCGAGGACTGTTATTGCCTCCATTTTACAGATGGAGAAGCTGAGGCTCAGGGAGGCGGAGCTTCCTGTTCAAAGTCACCTGATGCTGATGAGTGGCAGAACAACGGTCCAAATCTAGGGTTTTCTGACTCCAAACCTGTGCCCTTTCTCCTATGCTTCCCTCCTCTGAATGGGGGAAGCATGGGGTCAGGTCTGAGCTCTGCCTCTGGACAGGGCAGGAGGGGACCTCTGTGCTGGTCCCTCTGCACTAACCCGTCCCTGGAACTGCTTAAGCTTAAAAGGAACCTCTCCCAGGGCTAGGAGTCCCCCAGGGGCCCGAGGGCCTGCAGGCTCTCACCCCACAGACCTTGCAGACTCTCCCCGAGTCTCCCCTGCACTCCCACGGCCCCGGCGCAGGGAGGGTGGTTAGGATCCCACTGGACAGATGGGGATGCCAAGGCTCAGAGACGGAAGGGAGTGTAATGGGAGAGCCAAGGACTGGGCCCCTGCTGCGTGCCCTTGGGCGAGTCGCCCTCCTTCTCTGGACCTCGGCTTCCCGGCTGTAAACTAGAGATAAGGATGGTACCCACAGCCCCTAGGGTTGGAATGAGAAATAAGATTTGTGGGAAGCATGTAGCCCAGTGCCTGCCACTCGGCAAGGTGACATAGGAAGGCGACCCATTACAATCCTTACTGAGCCTGACCCAGCCCAGGTAACTGCACAGGCCCGGCCCAGAGTCTGTCTCTCTCTAGGTCACTCGCCCTGCTGGGCAAGCTGAGATCCAAAGGCAACATCTGGAAACGGGCGCCTAAGCTCCCCCGCCAAACTCCCACGAGCTGCATGCACATCAGCCTTGTCAGCCTGTGTCCCCGCACGAGTCAGGCGGGACTCAAGTCTTGACGGCTGGTTGGTCGAGTGCTGCCAGCCACTGGGAGGGTGTCTACTCTAGGGGTCCACAGCGTGAGCTCCAGATCACGCAGCCTGGGTCTGAATCCCAACTCTGCCACTACCAGCTGTATGGCGAGTGTCTCAACCTCTCTGAACCTCAGCTTACCCATCTATAAAATGGGGATGAACTCTGGACCTATTAGGACTCAATTACTGTCATCAAATCATTACTATTACTATTATTATTAAGAACAGCAGCAGCAGCCTTAGAACCTTGCACAGGTCTGGCTCAATATATCTGTTTCATGAGTCAATGAACAATTTGTCCCTCCAGCTCCAACAGTATCTACAGAGGGGCACATGGGGGCACCAGTTCCGGCCCCTCCCTCTCACCCTCTCTCTGGGAACAATTCCATGTTCTCTCCCCTCCCTGCAGTGAGCTGCATCCGGAAGGCCCAGAAATCAGCCCCAGCCCAGCATGACTGTATTTGCAAGCCTGTCCTGTCCAGCTGAACCTCTGCAGCCAGCGAGATGAAGCCCCAGTCTCCTGGCTAGCAGGGGAAGGCGCAGCCATCAATTACCTTGCTGAGCCTGCCCGGCCCCATCCATCACTCGCTTGGCTGCCGGCAGGGGCTGTCTAGCTAATTACTTAACATGCCACATCTTGCGGAGGCTGGTGCCACGGCGAGGGGCCCGCGGTGGAGATCCGAGGGTAAATTTTTAATAAACCCAAGGAGAGGTGGGCACATGCCCTCAGACCCACGGCACAAAAGGGGACCCCTTGAGCTGTCCCCAGTCAGACCCTCCCCAACACCGAACCTGGCCTGGCAGTGAACGGGGCAGGGTAGCCTCACCTGTCCTCCTGGAATCCCTTGGCAACATCATGCCCGTGGGGGTCGGGGGGGTGATGATGATGTTGGGCACATCCAGGTGCTTGTCGTTCAGGACGGGGGCCTCATCGTGGCTGCTGCTGCTGCTGACACACATTTTAAAGCCTGAGAGGGTAGGCCGTGGAACACACACGTACACACATGACAGAGAGACAAGCATCAGTGGCCGCCGGGGAACTGCCCACGCTGGCTGGCTGCCTGCCTCCCTCCCCTCATCATCACCATGAACCCTGACACCTCTCAGGCAAGAGGGCATTGCTGTCCCCACTTAACTGAGGCTCAGGACAGTTAAATGACCCACCGGCCTTGCGTAACTCGGTGAGGACCGTGAGTTTTACCTGCTTTGTTCGCTAATGTAACTTCAGTGCCTAGAGCAGCGTCTGACACATCATAGGTACTTAAAACATGACTCTGAATGGATGAAAGCAACAGAGCTTGAACTGGAACCCAGCCTGCCTGAGCGGAAGCCATGCATGAAGTCACCCCTCCCACTAATGATTTTCTGAAGGAGTTTGTGTGAGATCGGTGTTATGTCTTCCTTACGTGTTAGACTGCATTCGCCAGTGAAACTGTCAGGGCTTGGAATTTTCTCTGTGCAAACTTCTGATTTCAAGTTAGGTTTCTTTAATAGATATGGGGCTCGTTAAACTTTTCTGTTTCTATCTTGGGTCACTTTCGGTAAGTTGCACTTTTCAAGGAATTTGAATTCAAGTTCCTTTTCTTCTGAGGTGTTCACTTCCTTGTCCCCTCTGTACTCATAAACTGGCCAAGTCCAGTGACATATCTCCACCTGACACAGAAGTGCGTGCCCCATCCACCCCACCCAATACCTTCCTCCATTCTTCCCGTCTGAGTCAATGGCATCGCGTCAGCCCGAAGCCTGCGTGTCACTTCTTCCTTTTTCTGCCTCACCCTCCAACCGCCAGCCAATTTAGCAACCTGCAAGCCCGCAGATGCCACCCCCTCAGTATCTCTGACGCCCTTCCTTCTCCCTCCTCATGCCCTAACTAGCACCTCTGTCTCCCTCTTCCGTCTGCCCTCCAAACAGCAGCCAGAAACTGCAAATTTGATCATACCACATACCCACTGAGAACACTCGCTAGCTCTTGACAGTTATCAACAAGCAGCATTTCCCAAAGTGTGTTCCTTGGAACACTGGCCTCGGAGGCTCCCTTGGGAAGGGGGTTCCGTGATCAGATGAGTTTGAGAATCCCATCTACTCTATCCTTCTCTCGGAGATTCCCATGCAGGTTAGAGAATTAAAGGCTGTGTCCTGTAGTAAGGAAGCTGCTTCAGTTGTGTTTAACCTTGGGCTTCCTGAACTTAAATAACCTTAGAGTCTGTTCACATCTCACAGAACCATGAGTCATAAAATACCCTGTTGATCATAAATTAAAGTCAACCTCTTAGCTCAGCTTTTCGCCTTCACAGTCTGGCCCAAACCATCTGCAGCCTCATCCCCTGCCACCTGCCCACACTCTCCGACCCGCTCAGTTTCCCAAATTCACTGGGCTCCCCAGCCCCTTCGTGCCCCTGTACAGGCTGCTTCCCCTGCCTGGAAAGCTCTCGCTCCCTCACCATGGCAGTGAGCTCCTACTCATCCTTCAAAGCCCTGCACAGCAGGCTCTTCTTTGGGGAAGATGCGCCAGCAAATCGATCCCTTCCTCCTTTGCCATCTACACTCACTCATTCATCAGTATTCCAGCACTGATCACACTGTATTGAAATGATTAGTTCTTAATTCTGTCTTCCTTTACTTTGAGCACCTAGAGGGCAGCCACTATCTCATTTGAGACTAGCACAGTAACTGAGACAGGGCAGGTAGGAGCACCTTGACCTTAAATTGGTAAACAACTTCAGGCACCACTGGATTGGGTGTTAACATCCTTATCTCTATGCTTTCACACTTTGGTTTTTTCCCAAACAGCCCCAGACTGGGATTGTATTAGGTCAAGTATCTGAGGCCCCGGGCAGCAGCAGGAACTGAGCCATGGGATGCTGGTTATTGCTACTGCTCCTCGGGCCCACGGGGAGCACCATGGGGCTGGGGCTCCTGAATGATCCCTGCAGGGGCAGGAGGTAGTTCTCAGGTACATCCCCGAGAGGTGGGGTCTAAGTACCCTGCCCTTCAGTGTGGGATGGACCTGGATGAATTCTAACGCATAGAATAAGACAGAAGGGATGGCATGTGACTTCCAAAGGGCTGTCGTAAGAAATGCTACTACAACTTCCTCTTTGCTCTTCTTCTGGGGGAAGTCAGCAGCCATGTTTGAAGAGAGGAAAGCAGCCTGTGAGGAAGGCCGCGTGGCTGAAGAACTGAGGCCTCCAGCCAACAGCCATGTGAAGGGGCCACCTAGGAAGTGGGTCCTCCAGCCCAGTCAAGCCTTCGGATAAGACGGAGGTCAGGCCAGCAGCTGGACTGTTACCGCCCAAGAGACTCGGAGCCAGAGCCTCCCAGCCGAGTCATTCCTGAATCCCTGACCCATAGAAACTGAGATAATGTTTAAGCCACTAAATTTTGGGGTGATTTGTTACGCAGCAATACGTAAGTGATACAGCTAGCACAGCTTGCCTGTCCTGGGAGCCCGTGGCCCTCGGAGTCTACCAGGCTGGTTAGTCTGTAGCCAGGGGGCCCCATCAGACTATGAGCCCCTCAAGAGCACCCACTGAGGCCTCTGCCAAGATGATTTAAAGTCATTGTTTTCAAGCCTCCCTTAAAGCAACAGAGCTATTTGTCCTGCAATCTTTCACGGAAGCCCAGAACGTAAAATACAAGGAAGCCACTTGGAGCAGGCCCTCCCGTTAATACTGGTAACAGTCAATATTTACAGATCATTTACTGCACATCAGGCACAATGCTGAACGCCTTCATGGCTACCCCGCGAGGGGCGAAGTAGAAGCAGCTCCATCTCACAGAGGTGGAGACCGAGGACCCAAGAGAGTAACAACTTACGTAGAGTGGAAGAGTGTGTGGCGAAGCCAGGATCTGAACCCAAGCCCAAGTCTGTCAGATTCCATAAGCTGGTACTTCTAATAACCACATTTTTGCATAATGGAGCCAGAAAACTTAATGAAAAAGGCCAGATAGTAATTATTTTTACTTTAGGGGCTACGCAGTTACAACTATTCAACTTTACCATTGTAGTGGAAAAGCAGCCACAGAGAGTATGTAAATGAATGGATATGGCTGTGTTCCAATAAAACTTTATTTGAAAAAAAGGGCAGCAGGCCCAATTTCTGTGGTTTGCCAATCCAGTTCTATAACAGCTCCGTGGAGTTTGGACCAGGGACCTGCATGGTGTCCTAACAAGCAATAATAGAACCTCAAAAACCTGAGGCTCTGAAATGCCAAAAACGAAAACAAAATTCCCAACCTGGCTGCTGTGGGGCCGCGACAGCACCGGCCTCTTCAGGGCAGTGGGCACGATGCAATGAATGAATTCACGTGAAGCTCCTGCCCAGCTAGTAGGGCCCGGGGGGCACTCAATCCCTGTAAGCGGCTCTGTAATCATCCATAAAGAGCGTCTCATTGAGCGCCAGCAACAAAAGGAAGCTCTGATTATTGTTATCTGTGACAGGAGGGAGCCTCTCTGCTTAGTCTCTGAGGCCCCTTCCTCAGTGAATATTCTACAGTTCTAAAATAAAATGCTAATAGAGAAAAGCCGCACTCCTCCCGGGGCCCCACATTTGCATTTTAACATGTTCTGGGAGCTTGGCGACAAAGCCACATTCTTAATCAGGAAGCATCAGGTCACTCAGTGGGCCCTGGAGAGATGCTGGAGGAAGAGAGGAGGGAAGGAGGGAGGGAGGGCACAGGAGGGAGGAGGGAGAGAGGGGAAGAGGGGGAAGCAGCAGCGAAGAGGGAGGAGGAGGGCGGGGCTCTAGCTCCCCTCAAATCCCCAGGCTGTGCAGCCTCCAAGCAGAGGTGGCTGAGCTGGAGGGGAAAGCTCTCAGGAGGTAAAACCGACTTTGGGGATTAACGACAAATGCCAACCCAGCCTCAGACAAGGAGCTCATTTGTGCTAAAGCCAGAATTGTTATTTGTTAATTACCTGCCCGCCTCCGGCCATTAAGAGCCCATTTCCTGAGGGGAAGAGCCGGCCTGAGGTTCCCGGCACTGTGACCCAAAGAGGGAGGCAGGAGGGAGGCAGCAGGGAGGGGACCCCAGCACCTGGAGCCATTCAAAGATTTCGGGGTGGGTGAGATGGGAAGCTTGTGCAGGAAGCCTCGCCCTGGCCTTGACTGGTCCCTGCTGGCCTGGGCCCTGGAGACAGAGGAAGCCAGCCTGCCCAAACCCTGGCCCCCGGAGCCAGCCCCTCCAAGGGTGGAGTCCGGAGCCTGGCTTCCTGTGCAGCCCGGCCCGGCCCGGCCCTGCCCGGCCCTGCCCTGCCCTGCCCAGGGCAGTGGTGCCCCGTATTGGCTGCCTGATGCGATCACCTGGGAATTTTAAAAATACTGACGTGGGACCCCACCCGCAGGGTGCCTGATGTCACTGCTTCCCACCAGGACTTTTAAAAGCTCCCAGGAGAGTCTCGTAGCCACGGTTGGGAACCCACAAGCTAGGGTGACTGGAAACAGGTGGCTTTACTCTGTGAGCCTCAGCTTCCTTGCATGAAAAAATGGGGTTATGATACCAAACTTGTAGGAATGACATACCTAGTGAGGGATGTGGGGCTGCCAAGTGTGGGAGAAATGACCATTGAGAGCCAAGCCAGCTGACCAGGGCCTGAGGGATCCTGGCGGGGATCCAAGGACTGTTGGCTCCTTCCGCTGGGACCAGCCGCCCCTTCTCAAGCATCCCTGTGCCAGGCCGTGGGCTGAGCCAGCCATTTTCACTACTGCATTAATCCTCAGTGTGGAAACAAGGATCATGACCATTCTCCAGATGAGGAAACCAAGGCTTGGAGAGGGCAAGCCCCACAACAAGCAGAGGTCAGGTGGTTCCAGGCCCGAGCGCCCACTTTGCCCCTTCTGGTATCAGCCACCACTTCTCAGCCTTCAGAAGCCCTGACCCACGCAAGCCTATCCTCTGTTCAGGACGCCCCAGGGACAGGGCACTATTCCCTATGCCAGTTCTCAACAACCCCCAGGCCACCACCACGCCA